CACACAAGCATGGGAATCGCACCCTTAGCTTGTAGTGGAGACATAGTCTCTCTCTTGCATTGTCTGTATTCTTTATTTACAGAATTAAAAAATGCACCTTGCATTCCTCCTTTCAACTTGTTCACAATGCCTTAATATTGTTAGCCAATATTCGGGGTCATATGGATTGCTTCTGATGGGGAGAGAAGTTAATGATGAAATAATGATCAAATTATTTGATGCAAGCCTGTTTATTTACAAAGAATGTACATAGTGTTGTTTCCCTGAACACAGCAGAACCAAACAGCAGGAGATAGCTTGTTTGCTCACAGTTCCAAGCCTCTTTCCAGCCAGAGTGCTACTCAAAAGCTCTCTTAGCTTTTTTTCAGGGTCAGCAAGTGTTTCTGTGGCTGTCTGCTGGTCTTCCTAGCTGCCTTTCTTGTGTGCTCCTTTTGCCTTTCTGTTTCTTCTTCTCTTGTGCACACACAGTGCAATCAGATCAATCCCCTGCATTTGTTATCAAACCCCTGACAGCCTCCTAGGACTGCATGGCGCAGCCATGCCCATTTTTGCATGCTGTCTATTCCTTGGGCAGTGACTTTCCATTGTTTCAGCTACCATTAAACAAAGGGGCATTTAATTGTTCCCTTATTTAGCCAGAATGGAAGGCAAATGGTCAAGCCCAATAGCGTCAATGAGGTGGTCTGATTGCCCAGTCCCCATCATAACAAAATTTTAGTACGTATGCCTGGTGTGTCTATATAACTTAACTGTTGTGAGTTAGGTTTGAAACTGAATTTCCATAGTAAGAGGAAAACATACTAGGAATGCCTACAGGCTGGGACGGAGCAAGGTACCAGCTAAAAGGCCACTTGAAATGTGGCAGAGACAAGCAGCTGCAGGCTTACAAGCTATCAGAAAAGTATGCCTGGGAAGGTTTCTATAACTGGTTGGTCCTATACTGGGTAGTTTCAGTAGTGAACAGGCAGTTGTAAGGAGAGAAGTTTTTTAGGGAAGAGACTGAATAACCATGTTGCTGAGGCCAAGACATCTACTTAGTGTGTAGCTCCCGATTTTAGAGTTTGGAACTTGGTGTTTGAAAAGTTTCTGTAATAAAAAATGGTATGCAACTTCAGCTGTTTGCTGTATGCCGTGTACTACCCCATCACACTTGATTAACATTGGGGTATAGTAGAGTCTAATACCTGTTTTCTGTTCCCTTCTCCAAATCAGGCAGAGCAGGGGATTTGAACCCAGGTATTCTATATCCCAGGTGAGTCTCCTAATCACTGGGTTCTAGGATATTGTGGAGTGGATCTCTCAATCGTTTCTGTTGAAGCTGTTCCACTTTGTATAAAATATTTAGTCAGTAGGTCAGGGAGAGTGAAAATGACTATAGTTCTGGTTAGGGCACGCATTCGGAAGGCCCAGGTTCCAGTCCCTGCTCCAGTGACTGAGTATTTCCTAGGAAGTGGAACAGCTTCAGCAGGAGAGATTGAGAGAGACCCACCCCAGAATACCCTATAGCCCAGTGGATAAGGAACTCAACTGGGATCTGGGAGACATGGCTTCAAATTCCTGCCCCACATTAGGCAGAACAGGGATTTGAACCCAAGTCTCCCACATTCTGGGTGAGTGCCCTGACCACTGGGCTATAGGGTAAAAAGGGGAAATATCATTATCACCTGCTGTTGCTGTGTACTCGTCATAACAGGCCTACCAGCTCAAGCTCACAGGTGAGAGAGGCAGAGGAATGCATAGTTTGAGGATCCTGCTGGGGCTTAGGTATGAGCTAAGTGCCAGGCATCCGGATTGAGGCAGTTTTGTGCATGACCTCTGGCTCAAATTTAGGCATCTAGGGAATATAAGTGCCTGCAAGGTTTTTGAGGATTTCAATTTTGGATTTATGTTTCTAAAGCAGCAGTTAGGTGCCTAAATCCCTTTATGGCTCTAGTCCAGTCTAGTGGGCAAACTACGGCCCGCAGGCTACATCCGGCCTGCGGGACCCTCCTGCCAGGCCCCTGAGCTCCTGGCCCGGGAGGCTAGCCCTCAGCCCCTCCCCTGGTGTTCCCCCTCCCCTGCAGCCTCAGCTCACTGCACCGCGGCGCAATGCTCTGGGCGGCAGGGCTTCGAGCTCTTGCTGGGCAGCACAGCTGCAGAGCCGTGGCCTGACCCAGTGCTCTGTGCTGCGCGGTGGCATGGCTGGCTCCAGCCAGGCAGCACGGCTGCCTGTCCTGGTGCCCTGGGCGGCATGGCTCTAGCGCCACCAGCCACCGGTACTCCAGGTAGCGCGGTAAGGGAGCAGGGGCGTTGGATAGAGGCCAGGAGAGTTCGGGGTGGTAGTCAGGGGGCGGGGGTGAGGATAGTGGTCAGGGCAGTCAGGGGGCGGGGAGCAGGGGGGTTGAACGGGGGCAGGGATCCTGGGGGGGCAGTCAAGAACGAGAGGAGGGGTTGGATGGGGTAGTGGGGGGCAGTCAGGGGCGGGAGGTTCGGGGGCTGACAGGGGTCCCGGGGGGGCGGGGGAGGCGTCAGGGGACAGGGAACGGGGGGGTTGGATGGGGCAGGAGTCCCAGGGGGGCCACCAGGGGGCGAGAAGCAGAGGGGCTCCGATAGGGCGCGGGGGCCGGGCCACGCCTGGCTGTTTGGGGAGGCACAGCCTCCATACAATTTCAGAAACCTGATGTGGCCCTTAGGCCAAAAAGTTTGCCCGCCCCTGCTCTAGTCCCTCATGACCTGGCTTTAGGAAAGCAGATTTTTTGGTCTGCTTTTTAATTTTGTCTTTTTCTTGTTGTATATTTGCATATGATGTAAAGTGTCAGTCACTGTGAAATCAGTTTGAGTCTTAAACTAATTAGTAAACTTTTAATCCCTTTGGAATCTTTGAACAGAATAATAATATTGGCAATTACTACATGCTTCAGATTAAATGTTAAATGGTATTTCTTTAGGATTTTTCTTCCAGATTCTAAATCCTTTTATTTATAGAAGTGTAATGTTTTAATCCTGCTTTGGCAGACATGAGTTCATTAAAAGTAACTTATATTTAGACACTAATACTATTATGTTGTGCAGCCTGTCTTTGTTGTCTTCTTGTCAATATTGCAGTTTTTCAGATGTCTGCCTAGAAGTTCTTCAGAAATTTTCATGCTCTACAGGTTGCTGCTTTAGATTTGTTATCTTGCGTCCGGACATTTCAGACAAATTTGTTTAATTGGATTGCTTTTCATAATTGTGAGCAATTCAGATGTAATGTACAAAATCAAAATACCAAAACACAAAACAGAGCCTACCTGACATATTTGTAATGGAATAATTGAGTTCATGGAAAAGCAAAACCATTTTGTAACACAAATCCTAGCACAATATTATTATTTACCAGACAGCCGTATTTTTAGATCCAGATTAACTAATGTAAAGTGTAGGATGTTGCCTTTCATTTGATTCTTCACCCTGCCCCCCAGACACTCTCACATACATTCTTTTTTTCTCCTTTGAAGGCTGTTGTTGAACATTTATATAAGGAGAAAGGATGGCGTCCTGCTAGAAACATTTAACCAGTGAAAATATCTACTCGTGAGACTTTTGCTTTATCAAAATCATATTAATTGTAGTTAAGAAGAGGGGAACAAGGATGTGCACTGAGTAGAAAATGTTCAATCTAGTCTAAGGAAAATAATTGTGATTGTTTCTATTTTTAGATTGTGCTAGTTGCAGAATACAAAAAGGGCAGTTAATCTTTTTGGGAGGGTTAGCAGTATTCCTCTCTGTCAGCAATGCCCTTTCTTTTGGAAATATCCCTCAGTCCCAAGTCCCCAGAGGTGTCCAGGGGTTACTGCTGTTTTTGCTCTTGAACCTCACTTGTGGATTTAGCCAGCTTTTGTCAAAGAAGGGACAGGATATAGCATTCATAGTCGCTGAGATAGTCGGACAGTTTGCCAAAGCTGTGTGAGGCTTTCTTGTATCTCAGCACAGGACTTCTGCAACACGTCCATCCTAAGCATAAGGCTGGAGAGCGGTCAAGCACAGAAAATACCTTTGACAACAGAAGTATGTTCATTGTTCAGTGAAGGAAAGCTCAGGTGTTATCAATATTGAAAAACCCAAAAAATTAAAAAAAAAAAAAAAAAAAAAAAAAAAAAAAAAAATCTGGAGTTCCTTTAATTTACCTTCTGGTTTTTGAGCCTTTAGGGTATGCTCACTTCACCTTTTCAAGCTTTTCTCTGCAACCATGAGTGCTAGAATTTTTGTTAAATAAAAGCTGAGATTTTCACGACATCTCTCAATTTCAGTAAAGGAGGGGAGGGGGGAGAATCATCAGAGTTGTTACTGCCGTTGCACGCCTGGCACACTTTATATGTTCTTAAAACTAAAAAAATTTTTGTAGCCCTTATGGATGTATACCCTTTCAGATGTGACGTGATGTAGGTATTGTTCAGCTCTGGTATGTGAGAATTGACTCCATTCATCTTCGTGTTGTGTTACCCCTGAAGCCTAATTATACTTCACAGTCCAGTTTTTTTTCCCAACACCAGAAACACGAAGTCGCACGCACGCACGGAGTTATGTACACAGACTGGGTAATTAATTGCATATGCAAATGGCCAAATAAACAAAAGGGCAGAAATAGCAATAGGTCCTGCAAATGCCCTTTGTTGTTTCAAGCCAATGGAAACTCTAAAAGCTGTTACTATACAAGAGCCTACATATCTTTTTGCATACCTTGTTTTGAAACAAGTGCAGTTTTGTTGTGCATTGAAGGTAGTAAATAGCCCTAGGTTTTTAGACCCAGCCAAATGTTATAATAAAAATGTAATACAGTGCTGTCCACAAAATGAGTTTGATGTCTATCTAGTATAGTGAATAATATAATTGTCTAGTACTGGATTATAACATAAAAGGCTATGTTAATATCTTCTTAAATTGCCTTTCACCTTCCATTCCCCGTATAAAGCAGCATGTCTGAAGTAGCTCTTCCCTAGTAAACACAGTTTGAATAAAGCTGTTTTGTTTTTTCTTAACAGTTATTTCGAGAAGTACGAATAATGAAGATATTGAATCATCCCAGTATAGGTAGGAATTGATTTGTTTTTCTGGTGACTTTAATATTATACTCTTATCTATTTTGTTTAAATATATTTTAGATATTTGTTTTTATTTACCCATTAAATCTTTAAGATGGATGAATAGTGTACACTCAGAGCCAAATCCTGCTCTTGTCTTGTTTACTTCAGTGGAACTACTTGCATGAGTAAGGCAAGCAGAAATTTGGCTCGTAGAGGATAACTTGCTCAATCAGCGGAAATGGCTAACGCTCAGCTAGGTGGTGGTGTCTGATGGCCAATAGGGGATCTGGCTCGTACTCTTACTGTTGCTCAAATGGGTTAAGAAACCTTAGAGCTAATGAGTTCTGCCACTCTCACTAAGAAACTAGGACCTAGGACCGAGAAACCTGCAAAGTGCTATCTTCAGAGAAACCAAGTTACAAAGTATGTAATTTTCCCTTTCTGCTTTAGTTCCCCCCACCTTCAGAGCCCTACTTTGTGATGACAATTCTTCTGGCTGAGGAGGGCTGGACAGTCTTGTTCCAGAGACAGTTAATGTTCCTGAATCGGCCAGAGGGCTTGTTGCATACAAGGTATGGACAAGGTATACAAGTTATTACATTCTAGGTACTCCCTCGTCTCCATTCTTAGAGCTGAGTGTGTTGCATTTCCAGCATTCTGAGCTCCTACTGGTCCCCCTCCATCCCACCTGTGACAGTGGTAGTTTTATTAGTGTTATATTCTGACTGGGAAAGCCTTTCAGATTGTAACAGTTAGAATATCTGCTCAGTTTGGCACCTAAACTTTGTGTCTTTTTAAGTTTATCAAAACTCCATAGTTTCTCTAACCTGGAGCGTTTGTAATAGAGAAGTAATTTACTTGGGATTTTTGTGTGTTTTTTGGTAAGAATTCCTGTGTGGAACTAAACACTAATTTCAGCATAAATTTCATTTTTGTATAGTGTTTGTGAAATACTCCTGAGAAAGTTGTAGAAGATTTTATATAGCTATGATGTTCTTACAACTTAATTCTCCTTTTTTCAAAACTGTTTAAATCGTCTGACTTGGTGGTATCACTGGTTAATAAATTATATTAATTTAAAGAATAAGTGTTTGGGCTGTGTTTTTAAAATTTTGATGAATTTTTGCTGCTTGATGCAATCTTTCATTCCTTTTTCTTTCAGTAAAATTATTTGAAGTTATTGAAACAGAAAAGACACTGTATTTGGTAATGGAATATGCCAGTGGGGGTAAGTAGTTGTTGAACTCCAGTTTTGTAGTTAAACTGAAAAGTGGAAAGTAAATCTTCATGCACAGATGCGCAACTGAAACCAATCTTGACATCTGGGGTTGTGTTATGTCTTTTGTATTGCATGTTGGCTGTCTGCCTCATGGAGTCCCTAACCAGAACTTTAAGGTACAGTTCTGCTGTCGATTAACAGTGTTATGCACAGTAGATTACTTTACTTTACAAATGTTTGTGTAGTTGTTGATTTTGATGATATACCAGGAGATAATCTGACTTTCTAGCAGAGGCTCAGGCCTTGTGCGTCTCCCATCCTTATACTTACATCAGCAATAGAGAGAGCACCTGCCTCTCATCTTGACCTTGTGTCAGAGCAGTGCAACAGAGCCAAGAAGGTCTGGGAGTTGGGGATAAGAACATGGGACAGCTGGCCAGGCAGATTGAAAAGAAAGCCAGGTGAATTGTGGGAACACAATTGGTACCCATTTAGATGGGGAAATGGCTGTTTGGAAGGGAGTGGAGCTTCCACCAACTGGAGATGGCTGTTTGTCATATACCATGGGAGAGAGAGACCACTTGCAATGAGAATCTGAGAGCCATTTGGTGAAGAGCTTTTTGGCCTTAAATTTCTCACAAAATAAAACTGATGTGAAGACATGCAGTGCAAATCTGGTGTCTAAGAAGGTGCCACCCCTTACACCTAGAACCTTATCCCTTTTACATAGTTATTCTTTACTACCCTAACTGCACTTTAAATTGGTCTTTCATTTAATGCTCGTTTTAATATAAGAATTTTAAAAAACTGAAGTCTTACTAGGAAGGAATCTGTTCTTGTAGGTCTGAACAGTGAACACAAATACAAGCAGTAAAAAGGAATCTTTCCTGACTGCTTCCCCCTCTCTCCTCCTCAAGACTGTGGGCATATTTGAAATGGTTTTAATAAACAGACTAGTTAGTTTTCTGAAACGTGCAGACAGTGTTTTTCCTTGATAAGCCCAGTTGGTAACTTGCGTGGGTGGATTTTTACACATATATATGTTGAGTTTTTTTGTACACAGAGGATCAGATCCTCTATGAAGTTGATGGAGCTACAACTGTTAACACTATCTGAGCATCTGGCCCAAATTCATAGTATATGGGTGTTTTTCTTCGTGATAGTCTGGTATAAATAATAAAACCTGAGCAAGATAACTTATGCTTCATCTTTTTCTGGTTCAGGAGAGGTGTTTGACTACTTAGTTGCACATGGAAGAATGAAAGAAAAGGAGGCACGTGCAAAATTTAGGCAGGTATGAAATTGTTTCTGTTTACAGTATTTTTAATGAACTTGAACTCAAAAATATTTGCACATTTTTTTTAAAAAAAGTAAAAGTTCATAGTTGTAGTGATATATGTATTAAAGCTAGAATGGAAAAATCCCTCAAGAGGAAAATACCTAGATCCTGAGCATAATTTAAAAATAGAAACAGACTGTTTAAGCTCTTGTTAATAGATATTCTTGAGAAACCAAATTTCTTTCACTATGACTCACTTCAGATTTTATTAACTCTTTGAGTCTCCTGAAATAAACAGATGTTCTTCAGTGAGGTTGTTATATGGCTATATAAACATTTAGTTTACTCACTTATTATATATCATGTATTTTATTAGGGGTACACTTTAAAATACTCTAACATCCTCACTTCTTTCCTGAGTACTAATCTTCATGTATGGTTACTGTCAAGAGGGTTAGGGGAAGGTTTTACTTGTGCACTTTTGTTTATTTAGATATAATAAGCTATTTATATAACTTGGTGTTTCATTTTTTCAAAATTAAGATGCAAAATAACCATATAAAGAATCTAACTTAATACCAAATTAACTTACTTGTTGAAGTCTCCTCATACCAATCTCTTCATTTCATTATAGTTTCTGTAATAGAGAAAATTAAACTTAGTTATTTTTTGTCACATGTTCACAACTTCCTCTAAAATTCTCCATTTGGTCTGAAACTGTATGCTTTCTCTCTTCCTAGAAGTAATATTTTTGGGAAACTGAGCAAATTCCATTCAGTCATTTGAGTAACAGGAGAGTGAATGAGGAGAGAGTCTGAAAGGGGGATTGTCTATATTTATTAAAATTTTTAAAATCTTCATTACATCCGTCTGTGATGTACAGTCATTCAAACAGCATTTGCTAGTACTGTATTGAATAAAGTAATTCGACTAGAATGATGCCACATTCAATGGACTAAATTAATTTAAAGTGATTCCCTTCATATGTTGATAATTTCTGTTACTTTGAGGACTCTGTTCTGTAATGAAATCTTTTGCCCTGAAGTTTTGGATGCTTAACCCTAGAAGGATAAATAACATAAAAATACCTTTTACCGTTTTATGGAGTGTGTCCTCTGGGTTAAAAGATTAATGTCAACAAATTAGTAATTTATAATGTGGTAGCTGAATAAGATAGGATATAAAAGTTATGGCATATTGTTCACTAAAATAACAACATAGTGGAAAAGTTTTTAAATGGATATTTCTTCTTTGAGTGATTGTCTTTAAGTATTCCATTTTAGGGTGTTTGTGCGCCCCCAACACAGGAGATTTGGACCTTTTTGGACCAGCAGAACTTGTTGGCTTGGGCTTGCAGCTCAGAGCACTTGTGCAACCCCTGCCTGAGGGTAGAAAAGGTTCAATGTGGGCCAGCCACCTGTCAGTAACTTCTAACTGCGGCGTAGGCTGAGATGAAATGACTAGCGCTGTCCATTTTGTCTGTGTGTTTGTGTTTTGCATAGGATTAGTTAGTAAATATTTATGTATAATTTAGGAATTATATTTAGTATACTGACAGGTTTCAGAGTAGCAGCCGTGTTAGTCTGTATCCGCAAAAAGAACAGGAGTACTTGTGGCACCTTAGTTAGTCTCTAAGGTGCCACAAGTACTCCTGTTCTTTTTATTTAGTATACGTTTCATCTGGGTAACTTTGTTCTTAATTTCTTGGCTGCCTAGTACTGGGTTCTCAGTCTCCGTTGCTAAGCCAAAATCACCTGGTTTCAAATATTGCCCTTTATGTGGTATTGCTATCCTACTACCGAATGTTTATTTTGCTTAGGGGAAGGGCATATATTTAGCAAATGCTCAATTTGCTGTTTGTTTTCAAAGTGAATACAAAAGTTCAGAGAGGCCAGACTGAAAATGTACTTTTTCCATAAATGCTTGAGGCCAGCCTCAGATCTGGGCTCCCAGGATCCTTCTCTTTGTGAGCAGACCTCCTTCTTTACTAAAAAGAGCTCTGGGTGTTTCTGTGTACTAAAGTTCTGTCTCTTCTACTCCTTTGGCAAAGGCTGTAGCTCCAAAAACATCAGAGGGGGTAGAAGACTCCATCGTTATAACTCTTTTTATAACCTTGAAGAGGGGCACGAAGGTGTTGGAGCACAGACTCAGGCTGGTAAACACTGCTTATCAAAAAAAGTCCTGATCTCCGGCACTGGGGATGCACAAACACCCAAGAGAACATCAGTTACTTTAAGGATTTTTGCACTCCCTGTATGTAAAAATACTTCATTCTCCACTAATGCATACTAGGAAGCAAAATTAAGTATAAGCTATGAAAAACCCTAATTATATAGGGATTCAAATTAATTCTTATTGAAAATGTTGGTGTTTCAGATTGTATCTGCTGTGCAATACTGTCATCAAAAGTGCATTGTTCATCGTGATCTCAAGGTAGGGTGCTGCTTTTATTTTTTATTTTTTTAAACATAACTAATTGACACTATTAGAGCAGGTTCATCTACCTCTCTTTCCATGTTGCTGCCATTGCTGTAGTATGAGTGCTTCAAACACATTAATGACTTTAGCTTCACAACAGAGGTGGGAGGTACTGTTGTCTTCATTCCATACTTGGGGAAGCGAGGCACATAAAAATTAAGTGGCTTGCCCAACATCACAAGGAAGCCTGTGACAGAGACACGAAAAGAACCTAGGTCTCCAGAGTCCCTGTTTAGTGCCTTAACCACAAGACCAAAAATTATAGCTAATGATTAAGGATTCTGTCATGGAGGACTTGCCGGGACCTCTGTAACTAGCAGCCTCAGGACTGCCAAAGCAGCAGCTGGCCAGGGTTATGTCAGCCCCTGCTGCAGGAGCAGTGGCGGGGCAGGAGTGGCTGCAAGCCCCAGCAGCGCTCTGCTTGTCCTCCCCTTCCTTCCCCTCCTTCCCCCCCACTAGGCATTTTTAGTAAAAAATCAGGGATTTTTACTCAAAATACCTGTGACAGAATCGTAACCTTACTAATGATATACAAATATCTGCAAATTGAAGATGAAAAAGCTCATTTTAATGCATATTTATTGTACTCATAAATGCTGCCAGCTATCATGGTTTCAAGATTAAGACAATTTATAGTAAAATGCTTAAACTGACCACGTCTTTTAAAAATCTGTAAGCAATGTGGGTTTTTTCATCTGTTCTTCTCCACTCTATAAGTATCTGGTGATTCAGAGTTGGAGTCCTGCAGCGTCTGACTGTTTTCACTCACTGTGCAGCCTTTATTGCTCTTTGTAAATAGTTATTGTCAGTGAGGATAGTTAGGTTGGTGATTAGGGTAGTGTTTCCTCTTTTTGTCCTCCCTCTTTATTTTCTGTACCTGTTGTAGGGAACTTGTTTTTCTCAGGATCTACCCAGCACAGCATCAGCCTGCTATGGTGAAGCAGAAATTGCCAGGGTTTCAGAATTGCCCCTCCAACGAGGCAGTAATGCCTCTTAACTTTGGACACACCAAATGTGTTTCGTGTTTGGGGAAGGACATGTTATTGACAGGTGATCAATTTGTAAACCATTCTCAATGAGGATGCAGAAAGCTAGTGATGCATATCTAAAAATGTTCTTAATGGAAAAATGCATGTATCCCTCCTAAAACCCCAGGATCCCTGGGGCAGCAGTTGTCATCTGCTGTCACCTCCTCATCAGCCTGCTCCTTTGATGTGAACAGTCTTCCTTCTCAACTGGTAACACCTCTAATGACAGAGGGGCAGAGGAGCATTCTGATGTTAAAGGGAGGAGATCTAGTTCTCCTATACTGGAAACTAGCTCTAAGAAGCATAAATCTTCTGCATTTGTCTGCAAGGTCCCTTTGTGACCCACTTGGACTCCGGTCACTGAGCCCCAGTATTGGTTTCCTCAGACTGAAAAACTTCACCAGGTACTACTTGTGCAGCACTGAAGCACACAGTATTGGCATCTTTGGTATCAACCACCCTGGTACCAGTGTCATCGATTCACCTCTTCTTGGCACCTGAGTTCTCAGTACCAAGGAATTATATGGTACTGGGAGATCTGTCTCATCTGTACCAACTAACCACTGTTAGCTAATACTAAGGTTTGTCCCCTCTGGTACCAAGTACTTCACAGACTGGTACTGACTAGAACAGGTGACGAGAGTGTGCCTACTAGGAATCTTGCTTCAGCTCCACTACTTCAGGAGCAGCAGCCCTCAGCTTCTGATGATAGCAAAGCGCCTTCTCATTCCCTAGGGTCATGATCAATGACTTACATCTTTGAAAGGGAATCCAGGGTTTATTATTGTTACCTTATCTCCAAAAGACGTAGGGATCCTAATTCCTGGTGTCCTCCACCACGGCCCCCCTGGTCCTTATGCTTACCAGCACCTTTGGTAGTACTGGACACATGGGGTTTTCAGTCTACAAGGGGAGCAGCATTTGCATCATAGCCAGATCTAAAGCTCTATCTCTGCTGTTACAGAGAGTAGCACCCAAAGCTATTCAAGAACCTTCATTATTGGTGAGCATCTGGATCATGGCTCTGATGTAGAGCTTCAGACTGAGGATCTTAATGTACCATCTCCTGAGATAAGGTGGTTCTGCTATAAGCCTCCTCAAACTTGATGACTACAAATCCTTCCAAGAACTGCTCTGAATGGAGACAAACATGCTGGAGGTACTGGTAGAAGTGGTCCGGGAGAGGTCTCATAAGCTCCTGGACATCCTGCACACCCCTGTGCCAAGTTGTCTAACGAATGCCTTTAATTGAAGGCCTTTTGGATCCTGCTAAACTGCTCTGGCAAACACCAGCCTTGAGAGTTCCTACATGAAAAAGTGCAGAGCATAGGTACCAGGTCCAGTCTTCTGGATTTGAGCTGCTTTACTCACATTCTACTCTAGGATCCCTTGTGGTATCTGCAGTCTACAAAAGATGGACACAAGGGCCCTTTGAAAGTTATCCCCTGGGACAGGAGCCCAGAAAATTAATCAAGTATCAGAGGGGTAGCCGTGTTAGTCTGGATCTGTAAAAGCAGCAGAGTCCTGTGGCACCTCATAGACTAACAGACGTATTGGAGCATGAGCTTTCATGGGTGAATACCCATTTCGTCAGGTGCATTAATATTTTTGGATGTAAAAACTACTCATCGGCAAGCTTGCAGATGAGAATCACCAACTATCAATTGCTGTTGGCAAAATGACTTTCTGAATTATGAAAATATTGCAGCATTCACTGGCAAGATCCTGCAGGACTGCAGAGAGGAATTTAAATAGCTGATTACTGAAGGACAGCATGTTACATGCATTTCCCTCCAAGCAGAGCTTGATGCTTTGGATGTAGGAGCTAGGTCTATGGCAACCTCAGCTGACATGGACAGTCATCCTAGCTACAAGTGTCTGGCGTTCCTAAGGAGGTACAGGTTACCAGAGAAGACTGGCCTTTTGAAGGATGTGAGTTGAATACAAAGACTGATGAGGCCTTAATCTTTGAAAATATTCTCATGCAATGCTAAGGTCTTTGGGAATTTATACTTGCAACATAACTTTAGTGGTGCTCCACCCTCTAGGCCTATAGAATGTGCTTTCCCATTGCCTTAGGTGAAAACCTGCAAGCAATCTTGAATAGTCTCTGAAGGACTTCACATTCAAGAACTATTTTGTCAATTGGAATCAACAGTCTACAGATCTGTTAGCGATGTCGCACAAGAAATGTCAAAACTTCTGCTTGAGAGGAGGTCTTGATCCAGGGTCTCTAAGCATCTGATCTCTCTCTAATGTCCCTTCTTGTCTTATGATACTTTTATATCCGTTTCCTTTCTGATTGTTGATCATCAAACTACAGTTTTTGGCCTAGTAGAAGGACAGCAAATATCAGTGTATTTCTGTATCGTGGTTTCCTGAAGCATTTCCGGAAATTTTTCTTTGCTTTGAACTGCTACATAAAGTATGTTATTGCTTTGCATAGTGGAACTAAGCAGAGTAAAGCAAATAGCAGTATATTGGCTTTTTATTAGGAGTACCTGATTCTGCTGAAACATAAAAAGTGCGAGGAATGAAAAACAGACTATAACAGTCCTTTGTTACAAAACAGGTCCCTCAGGGTGCATCCAGCTACAGTATGAGTAAATCAGCCATGCTTTTCAGATGGTAACTCTGTGTTAAGAAAGAGCTGAATCATCCTTTCTCTTGGATGTAATATTGGACTACAATTTATGACTAATTTGTAGTTTGAATGTGTTTTTCTGAAACTTGACTCCTATTCCAAATTGTACTGTACTTCCATGACATGGGAATTGAAACTTTACAAGCCAGAGAAAAAACATCCTGAGACATGCCCTCCTCTCTAGTTATTCCTATATTTACCAAGAGCTGTTAAAGGGGGAAGAAAGAGAAGCTTTGAGCTACGTAATAAATATGCTGCACCTCATCTCCACATGTGTGAACATAGATAGTCACGGTGGCAGTATGCTGCAGTATAGGACTGCAATGTGTTTGTCATTGGTTATAGGGGTGTCTCTTGCTTGCGCAAAAACCAACCAAACAAACTAAAAGAAGCAGCAGTAAAGGATTAACCAATAAAGAGAAAGTTTTAAGAGTTTGTTATAACTTGAGGATATTTCCTTTTTAACGTATAATTATTATAGCCTGAGGTGAACTAACAAAGGCTGAACTGTTTATAGCCGAGGATATGTTGGTTAAAGTTAACAGGAAGCATCCTCAAGTTATAATGAAATTGTTTGACGAGTCCAGGTTTAAGGTTACAAAAATGGTCTATCAAATTGTTTAAAGATAGTTTTTAAAAAGTTAACATAAGCAAGAATTTTTTCTCTCCTTGTGTATTTCCTTCTCCCACTCCTGCTTTTCATCATCTTTCTTCAATCTACCTAATTACTTCCTACAGGTTAGCAAAGATTCTTTTCTCCAAAATAACTCAGTATTATTTTTAAATGGTTTCAAAACAAATTAGAAGGGAGAGTCAGGGATTTGCCCAGTGTGAATAATGTAAAGGCATTGTGTGCCAAGAACCTTGCTGGACTAGTTGGAAGGAATGATGAGGAAGGCCAATCTTGGTTCACTTTGATTTTTAAAAGAACTCGATGGGGTTCAGGGCAAGCGATACTGAGGTCCTGGAGAATGAGTCAAAGGGGTGGGATTAACGCGAAAAAACATCCAACAACCGGTTCATTGAGAAATAACAATACAGTAATTAGGCAAATCACACTTCCAGAACTGGCACATAGGGGTGAAAGTAACTTAAAGGATTTACCAGTACTCCGGAGTCCTGAGCAGGGGGCGGGGCCTCAACCGGAAGGGGCGGGGTCTTTAGAGCCCCAACCCCTTTAAATCGAGATTTAGAGGGCCCTGGGCTGCGGTAGTGGCGGCTGGGAGTCCTGGGCCCTTTAAATCACTGTCGGAGCTACCAGCTGCAGAGGCGGCTGGGGCTCGGGGGCCATTTAAAGAGCCAGGGGCTCTGGCCGTCACTACTGCAGCGGCGCCCCAGGCCCTTTAAATTGCCAACGGAGCACTGGGGGTCCCGGCTGCCGCCGCTATCCAAGGGCTCTGGCAGCGGGGCTCGAGTGGCAATTTAAAGGGCCTGGGGCGGTAGCGGAGGCCGGAGCCACAGGCCCTTTAAATTGCTACCCGAGCCCTGCTGCTGCGACCCCAGGGCTCCGGCAGTGGGGCTCAGGCGGTGATTTAAAGGGCCCAGGGCTCCGCCGCTGCTACCGCCCCTTTTAAGTCGCTGCCTGAGCCCTGCTTCCAGAGTCCTGGGGTAGCAGTGGCGGGGCTCCTGTGGTGATTTAAAGGGCCAGGGGCTCCCAGCCACAGCTACCGCAGCAGAGCCCCGGGCCCTTTAAATCACCACCGGAGCCCCAGGGGTCCCGGCCACCTCCGCTACCCGGGGGCTCCGGCAGCGGGGCTCTGGCAGCAATTTAAAGGACCTGGGGCTCCAGCCACTACTGGGCACCCCAGGCCCTTTAAATTGCCGCCTGGGGAAGCCAGTCCAGTATGCTGTACCGGCTCTGGGGCATACCGGCTTACTTTCACTTCTGCTGGCATATTACAAGGAACTATACAACTATCAGAAATTAGTGCTGTTTCAGTTAACTGAAGAGTAATCCTGCATTGTGGCTGAGGCATTCCATTTCACCAAAAAATTACTAGCATTTCTGCAGCTGTCTTCACCATATCTCACCCATTTGTTGTTTTAGCGGTTTAACTTTGCTAAATTTGAATGTGACAAAATATTTTATATGCATCTATATGTATACTGTAAAATACACACATACAGGATTGCCATGTGAGAAGTTAGAAACATGCTAATTGTACTTATCATACATTTTTGATAAATGTCCCTGTCCTCTGCCCTCTAATAAGCCCAGGGCATATTCTAACATTCCAAATCCCTGAGCTGATTTAAATAATCAACCTTCCAGAGAAGTATTTCCTCCTCCACTCAGCCTTGCCATTTCTTCCAAAGTTGCACCTGGTATGGTAGGATTCAATGCTGGGGTAGTAACAGTGACTGTAGATATTAAAATGTGACAGCCTTAAAGTCTAATGTCTTGAGCTATTCCAGGGTTAGACTTGAGAACTTTATGCCATTTGGAAGCGGGAGATTCCTGGCTTCCCAGTGGGACCCAGCACTTACTTCAAATTCCATAAAGTCACGAGACATTGGATGTTTTCTATTTTTGATTATTTATAGAGGTGTGTTTATATTAATTTTGAATTTATCTCCCTCTGAGACTTATACAGTTGTACTCATGGTAACTAAGGTTCCTGGCTTTGCAGGGAGAGGGATACTAGAAATAGTCAAAATAAAACTGCTTGGGAACCTTTTACAGGTTTTTAAAACAGTTTTCTCCTTAACACATGGCATATCCAAAGACGGGGGAATGCCGTGGTATGAAGATTTTCTTTAGCACTTGTTTGTGTTGACCTGCATAACTCATTGTAGCTTCACTACTCCTGAGTAATGTGACTGTCACAAACTCAAGCTGACAAAACTTTTATAGTAATTATCCTGTGTAATTCCACCTGTGTAAATACACACAGCACATTATTGAAGTAAATGTTTCTGAGATTTGCCTGGCTGCTGCTACTATTAAAGCATGCTGAGTAATGATGGAGGAGGGGAAACTTTGGCAAAGGATGATGAAATAAAGTACAGAAAGTACCAGGAAATATCTGTTATCCAAACAGACTCTTGTGTTTTAAAGTCCTAAATGAGGGTGGAAAAAAACTGAAGTTTTTTTAAAATAAAAAAATATTTAAATTAATTTTCTTTTTTAAAATAAACCTGTTTAAAAATTAAGTAAGACTTAAACTTACTATAATTAATTTTAAGTAATTAAGCAATACATATTTGTTGCTGAAGTTTTTAAAGAAAGTCAAACCACTGAAATGGTGGAAGTCACTGGCTAGGCACCCAGAACTTTTGTTTGAAGTGCCAAATCAGCTTTTGATAGCAGTAACCTTTTCTCCTGGTGCAGGGAATATTTTCTTCATTTCAGTTTATCCAACTAATATAGTTCAAAGACTAGTCTGACTGAGAGTTGAAAAAACAAGGAAAACTTGTTTTCCTCTTCCAGTCTCTAAATAAAAATGAGGTGTGAGAGGATGATCTTCTAGTTCTAAAAATCTTGAAGGACATGGTGACCAGAAACAAACAGTTACATTTACTAACTAAAGGTACCTTCTTTGTCTAATAAATCAGTTAGTTTTGCATGCAGAACTTGTTTTGATCAACCTTTTTACTTACATATGCGGCATGTTTAAGGTAGTTCTATTTAACTGATAAAAAAAAAACCAATATTATAATACTGTTTTCATGCAGTTAATTGAATTCCAATTTTCGTCCAAATACATCACAACATAAATCACAAGTAAATATTAATCATCTAGTAAATAAGAAATGCATCATTCACTATTTTCTAACACATTAAAAATGTAAAAATAAGAATAAATATCTTAATCTATGTAACTGCTTAAATAAATGCATATAGATGTAGTGTATCCTCCTAGTTAACAAAATGTACCAAGTTTAGTGTAAAAGCTATATTTAATTGCAAATCAACATGCTTTACTAATCAATGAGAATCAACCCCTTTTCTTCCCACGCCTACCCATACACATGGCAAAATGCCTGGGACTCAATTTATATCCTTTGGAAGCAAACCGGTTCAGTCTTCTAGGCCAAAGCTTTCAATTTAGAAGCACTAGATTGCTTTTGAATCCACAGTCAACTAGTTTTAACTGCTGTCTAGCTTTATACACTGTTAATTATTGTCTGAACAATAAATCCTTTGAATTTAACTTTATTTGCACCTCAAAATTGGACTCCAGATATTTTAAATAGCAATACTCTAAGTAGTGAATTCACAGGCTTTGTTTCCTTTGTTCTCTAATGTCAAACTGACTATTTTGGAAAATGTAACTTTTCTTCTCAACAAGCGATGCACACTTATATGTTGATCTTTATTGTGATGTATACATTTGGCCATTTTTCTTTCAATATTTTTCTCTTAGGCAGAAAACCTTCTACTTGATGCAGACATGAACATTAAAATTGCAGATTTTGGTTTTAGTAATGAATTTACAATTGGTAACAAACTAGACACTTTTTGTGGAAGCCCACCCTATGCTGCTCCTGAACTTTTTCAAGGAAAGAAATATGATGGCCCAGAGGTGGATGTATGGAGTCTTGGAGTTATTCTTTACACACTAGTCAGTGGCTCCTTGCCATTCGATGGTCAGAATTTAAAGGTACAGTTGAAATTTGACATCTCAATTTCAATTTGCTAACTTTTCAGCGTCAAGAATATATTTTCTTTTCTATCTAGGAACTGAGGGAGCGAGTATTACGGGGGAAGTACCGTATTCCATTCTATATGTCCACAGACTGTGAAAATCTACTGAAAAAACTATTGGTACTGAATCCAATCAAACGAGGGAGCTTAGAAGTAAGTAATTTCTTTCTGAAATTATCTTCACAGCAAGAATGAACTACTTACTCCAATAACCAGACAGGACATTGTTTTTGAAAGCGAGATCCCACTTTATTTCTGTTGTAGAGGCCTGCAGTTCCTAGGATTGTCAGGAAGCATTGCAGAGGGCAGTGCAGTTTGAATATGAGGCGAGGCCGTGGAGTCTTTTCCCTTTCTTAACTTTTGGCTGATCAAAGGACTGTCACTTTAAGAGCATTACAAAGTGCAAACTGCTTCCATTTGACTTCTTGCAAATGGTCAAACATGGAGCTAGTTCAAAAAAATGTGGAAAGCAGAATGGGGTTGTAGATGGCTGTTTTGGGGAACATTTTTTTGGTTGAGGTAAAACAAAAAGCAGTGCGAAGCAATGCCCCAAGAGTTCTTGCCATGACTTAAAATTGCCAGTCTACTGCCTGGAGGGTGGAGGCAAGATGAATACCTCTGACTATAATGGGAAATGAGTTTTCATTTGTCTGGTATCATAAACACAAATATTGAAAGCCATTACAATAGTAAACTTGATAGTTGTTAGCTAGTTTTGCTTAATCTTGGGCCTGGTCTACACTACGGGATTAATTCGGATTTAGCAGCGTTAATTCGAATTAACCCTTCACCCGTCCACACAACAGAGCCATTTAGTTCGAATTAAAGGGCGCTTTAAATCGATTTCTGTACTCCACCTCGACGAGCGGAGTAGAGCCAAAATCGATTTTGTTAATTCGAATTAGGGTTAGTGTGGCCGCCACCACCGAATTAATGTGGTTAAAATTAATGGGGTAGTGTGGCCGCACACCACCGAATTAATGTGGTTAAAAACCGAATTAATGTGCTTAGTGTGGCCGCGCACAATCGAATTTATACAACCTGTTTCCCAAATTCGAATTATCTAAATTCGGATTAATCCCGTAGTGTAGACATACCCTTGTTTCCTCTCCTAATTTCCTGGGCATTAATAATTTTATTTTTTGGTAACCAAGAAATAATCTATTTTATGAGAATTCACAGTGAATTGAGTCATGCGGTTTTGTCTGTAAAAATGTATGCCAGATTTACCAGGAGTGGGGAAATCTGGTTTTAAGCAGTTATTTAACAGTTTTGTAAGGTGCTTCAAAATGTTGCAGTTTAGTCAAGTAGTTTAATGTAAAATGCTGTTTCCTGTAACAGCATATGTTTGCTGATTGGCTCCGGAGATGATGTAGTATATTACACCAAATATTTTTTTGTGTATAGATTTAGACCACAAATCTAATTGCTGTTTTATATTGCTTTTGGAGATCTGTGGCAAAGAAAGATTTATTATTTGATAATGCCCATCCAGTATCCGAAATAAAAAGTACAACGGATGATAAAATGTTTGAGGTACAATGTGCATTAGTCACTAGTGACCTTTATTTTATCTTCGTGTGTTTGCTTTCCTAGCAGGGGATGGTGTTCCAGAGAATTCATCCTATTTAAGCCGTTTTTTCTTTCCAGTGTAGTAGTTTGAGCTTTCTGGCACAAGTATTTTTCATTTCAGAATAACTGCTGTGTTCAACAGTTGGATGGAAGTTGGGTAATGGCGTTTTCTGATTGGTTGATTGTAATAAATTACATTATATTCCTGCCTAGAGAATACATTGATAGGAGCTTAGTCACTGCAAGAAGCTGAAAGACTGACTTCAGAATGAATGGCTTCTTCCAGCCTTCCATTTATAAGTTTCTTCTTGTAAAGAGATTCAGGTCTAACACTTGAGATTAAAGATTCTTGGAAACCCTGGAGGCATAACTGGGCTCCTCAGTGTTTGAGTATGACAATCATATACTCCTATTCTTTGAAACCCATCACTGTCCCTGTAGAGTGTTGCTGATGGCAGCCATACAGGAGCCTACTTTTCTAGGGTAGAAAATGGGTTACTGCCAAATATCTGCAAAAAGGGAGTGAATAAACAGAATCTGAGGCACTCTTGAAATGAAACAACATTGGGCAAGAATCCATCCTCTAATTTGAAGATGAGCACCGTCACAAAAATGCATTTTATTAATGAGATATGAATTATTATTAGGGGTGAAAAGTTTAGCTTGAAAATAAATTGTTTATATACCTGCCTGAGTGCTGCTTCTAGTCCTCTTCAGCATGTTAACTATAGGGACAAAATCAACGTAAAATTCACATTTCCATCAGAAAATGCTGCACTTGTTACTGTTACAATTAATATATATGGTTATTGGAACTGGAAAAGATTTGAGAATATTTTTCTCTTTTTAGTTTGTGTGTTTTGACAGTATTTTGCTTAGTCAGCTTCACTCTTTTTTTTTGTTACTGGTCATTTGTTGTTTCTGAGCCATGCACTAGCATGACACTCTCATGCTGCTCTGGTAAGAGAACCGGTGGTTTTTTTTTTTCCCCCAAGAGGGTGTTTACCAGTAACAACAGCAACAAAATTGGAACTGAAGAAACAGCGCCTTAAGTAGTAGGCTTAGCCCTTGGGCTGGTATGTGTTATGTAAATATTATAAACCATACAAACAGGGAACAGGGAAACATATTTGAAAAGTAGGAAAATGTTGTTTTACAATCACAAATGTTGTTGCTGGGATATATAGGGCAGTGTTTCTCAAATGTGGCCACCAGGGGCTTTTCTTGCAGCCATAGCCTCCTGGGCTGTGATGGGGGGGAGTGGGGAGGGCAAAGTAGAACCCTCTCCCCCTCTCTGTTGCTCCTGGATGCTGGGGCCAGCAGCAAGGGTTGTGCCCTGCTCCACTCTGGAGACACCTTGGGCACAACGCTGGAGGAGCAGGCAGCCAGTGAGTTCCCCACCTTCCCAGGGGTGGTGGGGCTCAGGCTTTGGGCTTCAGCCCTGGGGTGGAGGGGCAGCAGGCTCTGGCCACATGGCTTCAGGCTCTGTCCCTGGGCTCCAGCTGTGGGGCTTCGGGTTCTGGCTGCAGGGCTTCAGGCTCTAGCCCCCCACTGCCTCCCTGTCTCCCCTGGCCCCCACTGCCTCCCCCAACCCTGCATCCAGGGCTTAATTTGTTCCCAGGCTTGCCAGGGCTGAGTAAGTCTGCAGTGAAAAGTGATACTTGTATGTTTGTTAATACCATTTTTCACAACAGACATACTAGCTAGCAATAAATAAATTACAATGATTTGGACATGTATATGTGCATATGTATTTGGTTTTCCTAAAGCTAATCAAGTATTTTAGGAAAAAGTGTGAGAGCGGCCACCAGCAAGAGTTGGTGGCTGCACTCGGAGGCCACCAAAAAAATTGTCCTGAGAACCCCTGATTTAGGGGCAGGTACAATACCAGAAACTACTTGGGACTTTTTTAAATTGACAAGATTTCAAGTTCTCTAAAAGAAATGAGAAGCAGGGAAATTGCAACAGGGCAGATTTACAGTTACGAAGAATAACAAAATGAATGTTTTTGAGACTAGCAAGTCTCAAACCAAGCCAGACCATTACTAGATAGTCCTTCCCTAAGACGTCAGGCAAAGTGCATTGCACAGCATCTAGGCAGTTGAAATATAGTTTGGGTTGATAATCAGATTTTAAAATATCCTGACCAAAGCTGTTGCTGTACAATTAGCTGACCAAAAGCCAGACTGAACTCCCTCAAAATGTAATACTGATCCTTCTGAGGCTAGAGCATCTCCATACGCTTTACTGCAAGTGGGCTCTTTTGGCTATTGAACAATAACTAGATAATACCTCTAAATTAATGTACTTAATTGACAAAATTGAATTTTAGCTTAAAAACATACTCCTCTTTAAAATATGGAGAACTAGATTAGAGAAGTTCTTGAACCATAGATCTGAATAGCAAGGAGAGGGACAAAACTAATAGCACTGCATCAAAAATGGTATTGGTCCAGTCATGTTGCTGGAAGATCTAATGGGGATGGAGGGGAGGAATGGGATGCTTCTCAGAAGGGTGGTTCCTCTTGCCAAAAATATCATTGTAGAAATAGTTTTGCATTCCTGCTCTATTTGCTGAGAATACTACTAATGAACTGAAGGATTCCAGCATCTTCTCTCTGTTGTGAACCTTGCAGTTGGATAGTAATAGTCCTAGCGACCATCATGTGATAAGACTCCTTGTAAATAATCAGAGTCAACTATCAGCTGAGTCTGTGGCCAGAAGACCGCAGCAGTTTGTGTCCATTAGCAAAAATAATTACGAAGATTATTTCTGAGGCAGACTTTTAATCATATTTCTGGTGATCTTACTGTCAGCAAAACATTAGTTGGCTAATAAGTGAACTGACATATCTGAATAGCTGTTTTTAAGATTTTGTTCTTTGTACTATTAATAGCAGTAAGACAAAAATGGGTCGTTAGTTTGGCAGCCATGTAGTAGTGCAAGACACCAGGTTACATCCTAGGAAAATTGAGCCTTTCTCTCTTAGAGGGAATCAACTGAAGTGTTTTCTGGAGGTGACATTTTTGGAGTTTGTTGGGGGAGGATAGATTGGTGGTCACGTCTCTCTTTTGGCAACCTGGTGAGCGGCATTTGTGTCGATCTCTAAAGAGGCTTTGCTACCTGTCATCATACCTGAAGGATAAGTATTGTTTCTAGCTATTCAGCAGGAGATAGGTATGTGTTTAAGGAGCAAATTTGGTGGAGTTTTGGGATTCCCTCTGAATAATTGTTCAGGAATGGCAACGTGTATCAGGAAGAAATCTCCCAAAAATATATAGATACAATCTATAATATTAAAGATGGTTGCATGGCATGGAAATAGTTAAATGCAAAGTTCTTTCTTGAGATGAACTGTGAATATGTTTTAAAGAGAGACAGTCCACAGGAAAAGATGAATGGTCATAGCCAGTGTTTATTGCCCTAGCTTGCAAAGGACAACAGTCATTTGGGAACACAGTGGCATTTCTACACAGGCTCTTAAATTATGTAAAGAAATTGTTGTTATAAAAATTGTTTTGGAATAAATTATTTGTTTTGCAGTAGCACATAGAAGTCTCAACCAAACTCAGGGTCCCGTTGTATTAGGTAATGTCCAAGCAGAGAGTGTGAGAGAGAGACAAATAGGGGAGGCAGAGACAGGGATTCAGCATCCAATCATAATGCTGATTGGCAAATGTACTGTGTTAGGATTTTGTTTTTTTTTTAATCTGATTTTTTGGAGGGGGGTGTTTTTTGTTTTTTTGTTTTTTTGGTTTTTTTTTTTTAATGCATGTTAAATATTTTAAGGGGTGAGAGAGAAAGTAAGGAGGGATGAATGAATTGGAACAAAGGAGTGCAGAAGACCAGGGCATGGAAGAAGAGATGGGGAAGCAAAGGGTATAGAAGAGTATTGAGGGCACAAGGAGTTAAGAAGAGAGTGGGAGGAGGTCAGAATAAACAGCTCATCAGAAAACAATATAATGCTCAGAGTCTAAACTGGAAACCTCAATCTGACGTCACCAGAGATACACTAGGGCAGCTCCAGCTGCACACGCTGAAGGGAGTCGTTCTTTGCTCCTGAGCAGGGTTATGGCAGCCACTGAGCCTTGTTTAGATGCTGCTGCTTGACCCTTTTTGCTTTAGACAAATATGACCTGCAAGTCAGCCTGCGTAACCTGTGTGTGTAAAGATGTACAGTAATAGAATATTCTGATGAGATAATGACAGAGCATAATAGTTTCATTTTTTCTTTGAAAAGCCTTGTAGAAAATTATAGAGATAGAAAGAACCTATTAAGCTAGCAGGGCTCCATCTCAAGTTATAAGTTGCAGATAATTGCCTAAAAATTTCCTTAAACATCTCTCCTAATAGCAATCACTGTGGTTTATTATTATGGTAACGACATAAAAGGGCAACTTACGTCCAGCTTTTCACCATGCAGATAATGGTAGCTTTTGAGCTCTGTTGTGATACAAGATCTCCTTTTATAAAGGTCCTATTCCTGGTTAGTTAATTGGCCAAGCAGTATTGTTGTCGTTCACATAAATATGTATTGGTTGATGCTGGAACTAAGAAACATCTTGTTTTCTAAACCGGCGCTTACAGGGGCTGATTCAATTCCCATTAAAATCAATGGGAGGCTTTCAATTTACTTTAAAGCCCTAATTGAATAAACAGTGTAATGCTTTAGCTGAGATTTGTTTAATTTCCTAGCAAATTATGAAGGATCGGTGGATGAATGTTGGCCATGATGAGGAAGAATTAAAGCCATATACTGAGCCAGAACCAGATTTTAATGACACCAAAAGAATAGGTAAGGATTTTCATATTATATGGAAATAGATGATAAATGTTTTATTGCAAATAAAACAATTTGATAGAAAGTGCCACAAAGGGAATTGGTTTATTACAAAAGTAAAATGTATTTGCTGTTTATTTAAAAGAGAAACTTTAACTTAGTCACGGTGCCCTTTCTAGAGCTACTTTGTGTTTGTCAGGTTAGGTATAGTTTAGTTTATTCATTTAAATAGCATAGGCACAAAGTTTTCAAGAAAGTAGTAACAATGAAAACAATGGGGCTGTAGTCTGTTCATTACTGAACAATAAATACAATGTAGATTCATTTGAATCATCAGTTATCTTCTAATTTTATGTTTTCAATTTTCAGTGTATATAAATTGCCAAGAATCTCTAGGGCACCTGTCCTGCTAAGAATAAACTATGCTTTTTATTTTTTTATTTTTAGACATAATGGTCACTATGGGTTTTTCAAGAGAGGAGATCCATGAGTCTTTAGTAAAGCAAAAGTATGATGAAGTCATGGCTACTTACCTGCTTCTAGGCAGAAAACCACCTGAAGTAAGTTTTATCTAACTTATATCTGCCAGTTTGAGTTCTAAATCTAGTTGTACTGAACATGTTATATTTGTTTTTTTTATTTTATATTCACCTTATATAAGACTTTCGGAAATTAGTTTAGCTTGGGTTGGGTGACAGTTTATTTATGCTCTGACCTTGCTTTGCAGACCTGGATTAAATGTGTTTTAACAAACAAATAAAATGTAATTGTCTCTGTTTTTCCACATTACAAGACGTTTAGCCGTTGTACGTGATTTGATGGTATTCAGGAGAGGTCCAAGAATGTAACAGCTGTGGCATTAATTATTAGGATAGAGTTCCATTGGCGGTGGTGGTGTATATGGAAAATTACACAGCACTTGGAAATTTAGCTCTATTCACTGTTGTCCGTTGTGTCCATTAAAATTATGGAATTGGAGAGAGGTGAGAAATCCACTACTCAAAGTGAAGAGACTTACTGAGGTCCTGATCCAAAACCCGTTAAGTTCCCAAGAGTCTTTCTGTAGACTTCAATGGGCTTTGGATCTGGTCCCAAGTGTTTTATGGAAATTACAGACATCAGTTAAAAAAAATCATTACCAATAAAATGGTTTTTGAAATATTCACTGGGCAAAGTGATGAATCCTGGGCAACCTGTTAATTGTAAATCAGCATCATCTATGCTTGGCTTCTCTTGGCCTCCTAAGAGCAATGTAGGATGAAAGAGGCTGAATAAAACTCTTCTGCAGTACTGCCTCAGCCACACCAAGAATTAATGGACATGAGATGACTATTCCAACTTTGAGAGGTTGGTTAATCCTACGTGATGAATACATTGGGATCTGGCTGTTTCTTAGCAGTTTCTGTTGCCACAGAGGAGTGCTATGCCAGGGAGCAGAAAGAGTTTCTAGTTACTGGGTGTGTGATTTGACTTGGAAATTTTAGGAGGGACTTAATCACAATTAATATTCCCACACAGTCTGCTGTTGTCCCTCAGTGTAGAATTCTAAGTGGCAAGTACATTGAGATGAGTACTCTGTTCTAAGGATTAAATTATTTTGGTTATCTCATTCATTGACACATGCAAGGCTAGATGGTCTGAGGTTTGAATTTGTCCCTGTGAATGTATTGTTTATAAACTACTAGCTTTTATTATGCAGAAATGGTGTGAAGTGACAGGAAAAAATGTAACATTTAAACTTCAGTGCAATAAATATTAACTGTGAAATACAACTAAAAAAACAGAAAATATAGTATTTCACGATAGCAGTAATTCTTACAAAATACTGTGTTTGGGCACACTATTTTGTTAACTAGTTTAACTGAACAAGGGTGTATTATTTATTTTATTGTATTCTTAAAGAATTATGAGCCACTTCATCCTTTCGTGAGTTAATCCTGTACTGGGACTGGAAACTCTCTCTAACTCTTGTGGAACTAGCAGAAGTCTGAAGATAACTTGAGATCTTCAGTGATCTCAATAGATCCAGCCACAGGCTGGGACCTTGCTCATGGAGGAACTTTGTTTCCACACTGCCTCCTAGCACTTCTTCTCCTCTTTGACAGCATGGCTTTGATGTACTCATCCTCCAGTGCATTCCCTCACTAGTCACTGCCCACCCCAGAACTCCTGTATGTTGGTACAGAGGAGGAATCTGACAAATCTTTCCATCTAAGAAATCTGTTAGCATTTAAATTTAGACAATCACACTGCTATTACTAAGTTTTCTTTATAGTGCTTGTTAGAGTCTGTGAAGGCAGAGGCTGGATTACCTAGGCCCAAAGAATGTGTTAAAGGCACTGAAACATCCTTAAGTCATTACTACTTGCTTTCCTGACCTAATTTCTGGACTTACTATTCCAAATTTGTTTGAAATGTTTTGAAATTGTTCAGATATTAAAAATATTATCAACGGGGGAAAAAAACCTTAAAACTAGATAATTTATTATCTTAATATTGAGGTTCTCATGGTTTTTCTTCTTTTAAATAATGCTCATCGTTCTGAGCTCTAATTGTACATTTTAAAACAAGTTCATTCATGTTTAGGCAGATGTAATTTGAGCACATTTGTAGGGGTGTTATTGATTTTCACAATTTTGAATGGGCAGGATTCGCTTAAACAATGATAACTGAAGTTATGAGTGTCTAGTCTTGAAGAAAATTAAATTTTAAAATAGGCAATTTTCTATTTTCGCCTATTTAATTTAAAAGCCTTAACGACCAAATTAAGTGCTTTATATAGGAATCCTTCACTATATAATGATATGGTAGTGTTGATAATGTTAATTTGTCTACATTTCAAAAATATTTAAAATGCTTTCTCATGCTCGTAGTTTGAAGGAAGTGAATCCCTGTCCAGTAGTAACCTGAGTCAAAGGTCTCGACCCAGTAGTGACCTCAACAACAGCTCTATGCAGTCTCCTGCTCACCTGAAAGTCCAGCGGAGTATATCGACCAATCAGAAACAACGACGGTTCAGTGATCATGGTGGGGATGACATTCAAACAAGTAAAGTAACCTACACAATTTAAATCTGAGTGTGCAGTGTTTTGTGAGCCTGGCACTCCACCTCTCTGTGCATTTCTTGTGTGCCTCATCACGCCACACCATGATGCTTCTTATCCGTACGAGCGCTTCTGTGGTAAATGTGGGCCAGCTTAATAGAATTGACCCTTTTGGGTTTGTTACTTTGGTGTAGCTATCACCTTCTAAATTCTGTATGGAATTAAATACAAGTTTTAATTTTCTATTATATTCAAAACTATACTTTTTTTTAAAAACACTATATTGCAAATTCATAGTTCGTGGGAGAGATCGTTAACTCCTGATCTGAATAAACTCCAAGACTGCAGGCTATTGTGTTTTATGCAATCTGAGACTGAAGGCCAAATTGTTGGGTTAGCCAGAGATAATCATTTTACAGAGTTATTGGGAAGCATCTTCAGGTGGTAGTAGGTATACAAAATGGAGTAAATATTCACATTTTAAAATGTTTAAAAACAAAAACAAAAACAAAACCAGGCAGTCAAATGCTAAAACTTTTTTATTGAGAAACTCTTGACCCTTTCCTCCTCCTACTTTGACTTCCACCTCTCACAATCCTGTTCCCCCCCTGTACAGGTCAGGAGTGGGGTTTTTTTCACAGAAGTAAATAATACATTGGGGCAGATCCTCAGCTAGTGCAAACTGTCGAACTCCATTGAAATAAATGGAGTTGTGTATTTTACACCAGCTGAGGATCTGCCCAGAAAGAACTGTGAGGGGAGAGCTGTGATTCTCCCAACATAAGCATAAAGTAAATAAAATAGTTTTAATTTATTCTGTGGACAAAAGCTTTACTCATGGGTTAAGGAGAGTGAGGATAGGGTAGACAGGCCATATGTCCAGTTTTAAGCGAAGCAGTCCTGCTTTTGTCCAGTTTGTCCCGTCTGACACTAATGTAAAACCAGATGTGGCGTTATCCAGTCTCACGCATGGAGGACACCATTTTGAAGAGCGTGCTGCTCTGGTCTTGCCTGTGTGTGACCCCACCCCTTTTGTCCCAGTGGGTACAGGGATCCTGCATGCAGCATGGCCTCGCACAGATGGTGATTGCAAGGTCACGCTGATGGAGATGAGGTCACACAGGCAGGAATGGGCCCATGCCATTTCCAAAAGTATTGGATTGTCCAGTATTCAGGGGATGCTTTAGTGGCCACCCTAGAGTAGGGAAAGGTTTTAAAAAATAAAAATAATTTTTTAAATAATTTGGAACAGTTTCCCTTTCATCATTTTGCCCATCCCATTTTCTTTGGTTTGTTTTTTAGCAACTTGATGGTTAAAATCGGTTAAAATTAGAACTAAAATATAAGTAGAAACTTATAAACCAATACTAACATGAAACAGGAAGTACTGAACGTATACTACATATCTTCAAACTTGTAATGAAGAGACAGGTGGTTCAAATTTATTTAAAGATAACAATGTATGTAACGATCACATTTTACAGGTAGCATATACACCAGCCATGCAGTCTTACAGTCATTCCAAAGCTTTTTTTCCCACATGTAGAGAATCATACTTCAGAGTATATTGACTGAGGGAGAAGCAATGATTGTTTTTAGATAGTATAATTTTGTTTTTATTTGACAGTTGGTCCATCAATTCCTCCTGCTGTATCATACACAAAAAGGGCTCAGGCAAATAGTGTGGAAAGTGAACAGAAAGAGGAATGGGACAAAGATGTGTCGCGTAAACTTAGCAGCACTACAGTTGGATCCAAAGGAGAAATGGCAGCAAGTCCACTTGTAGGTCCAGAAAGAAAGAAAGCGCCTGCAATTCCAAGTGTGAGTGTTTTTAAATCAGCTGGGGCAATATCTGCTGTATACTTGGCATCTTATATAAGCATTAGCCTTATATTAGTTAGTGAATATTCTGTTAACGGTGTATTTTGGTAGCTTATTCCTGTGTACCAATAAGAAGCTATGCTGTATATGCTTTTTAAAAACAAAATAAATTATCTTCTAAGTTTTATATCTGTTCTTATCAGTTTAATATCTGATATGTCCTTTATTTGAGGACTGTATATTAAATTGATTTTTGAAACAGGGATGGAATAGGAGCTTGCTCTCGTCCTGATATTGTGTTGTCTCCAGAAACGGTGCATCTCCTTTTGGGGAGAATAAAAAAAAAAAAAGCTTCCAGACAGCTGTTGGACTAGTTATTGGAAGCATTTTTTCTTATACTTTAATATTTTAACCTAAAAATGTTGGCAGGCTTGTGCAGTATCATATGTCTTCGGGGCATACAGTCAAAATTTTTTGCTTGTTACCTTTACAGGAATTTATTATACTTCATTTAAAAGCATGAACTCATAATAAGAAAATTACTTGTAGTACAAAAGTCTCAGATTTTGTAATACGACTCAAACCTGTGCTATCTTTTTCAAGAGATGACAAAAACTGGTTAAGTATCAAGATAGTAGTGCTTGTACAGTGCAGTCAGGGGAAAAGTATCCATGTGATAGACTGTAAGAATTTGCTTTTTCCATTGGGATTTAGTACACTGTGACCTCCATGTTGGATTCCAAGGATGGAATCCATGCCGCTGCTAAAGAAATTCTCTCTTCAGACAAAATCAACTTTTAAATCTGCTAAATTATAAGGATTCCTTCCTCTCACAGACTGTGTCTGCAATACGTCACACAGCTGCTTTTAAGCCTTCATTTTGTTTAAAAATCTCTCCCTGGGGGGACCCAAAGTGGTGGCTGTGTGGAACATGTACTGGAACTTTTTGTCCTGTGAGATTAGATTTCATTGGATTGTAAATCTTCCATGCTTTCCCAAAACTGTGTCTCCCAAAAACTGATTATGCTGATGTGTGTTGTAGGCTGATATGTCAAAAACATTTCTTTGCTTACGGTGAACTAATTAAATGAAGTATCTTAGTGGTAGAGTGAGAAATTGATTTACTTGCTAATAAGCACTACAGTGATTGCTCATTGTAAATCTGTTACTATTTTAGAGCACTTGTGAAAGAGGTTTCATGATGAGCAAGACTAAGATGTAGTGGCATCTGATATTACAGCTGTAGTTAAGGTTGAACAACCATTTCCTTTATAAATTCCCTCTTTCTGTATAACTTGTTGGTAAAAAAAAAATAATTTTTAACTGTAATTTGCCAAAGAGGGATGGGGTGAAAAAAATTCACCCATTTCTAAATCATTTTAAGGCTAACATGGTGGTGGGAAAGACTAGATTTGTTAGAAAATGTTTTATTGTCCCTAACACACATTGATTCCTATTATGTAACAGTTTAGTTTAAAACCAAATGTTACAGTTGGTTAATCTATATTATAAAATAACATTAGATGAGGAAACCATAAAGTTTACTCAGTAGTTCTTTGCAGTTTTTGTTCTATGGTGTGAGGGGGGATAAAGGAGACAGATGTACTGTATTCAAAACAGCGTAACTTCAGTTTCTTTCAAGAGCAGCTTCAGCTTACTTTTAAAAGAGCATCAAAAACCGCAGTGGATTGACTTGAAAATTCAAACTCCTGTACAACAATCCATACTTCAGGATTGTCTGGGTCTAAAGACCCCCTTGTTTGTAATTTTAAAAAAAAGCACACTTCAAATGTATCATTAAAAGAGTAAAAAATACATAAGCCTGAAAGCATTTTTAAAAGAATAAGCAAAACCTTTGAAACTTTCAAGAGAGAAGAACCTGCCCTCTTCTTGGCTGTAAAGAACTATGCAGGCAATGGCACTGTACACATAAATATGCCTGTTTTTGTGTCTTTAACATATTGACACATAAGCATAACAGTCTTACTTGGAGATTTTTAAGAGCAGGTTGGACAAACACCTGTCATGTATGGTCTAGATCAGTGGTTCCCAAACTGGGGTTCGTGAACCCCTGGGGGTTCACGAAACGTTACAGGGGGTTCTCGGGAAAAAATTCCCTAATGGCGGACAGAGCTGTCCTTAGGGACCCTGGGCAGCACGGGACCAGCAGCCCGGAGCCCCTGGACTTCCAAGAGCTAAGCAGATCAAAGCAAGCACATCTATTACACTGAGGAGATTTAAACTTCAAGGCTCCTTATAAGAAATGGAAAGGGAGGTGGATATTTTTTGCCGTTTTTGAAATTAAATAGGCAGCTAGTATTGTTTTTAAAATTATTATGAAGAACAAGTTTAAGCTTCGTGGTAACGTGTATTGTTTGCTTGAACTGCTCAAGACCTGAATGCTTGTATACGAGGAACTCTTTGAGTTGGCTTCTTAGATACCTTCATGCTGTTTCACATCTGATACTTCTTGATGAAACATAGGAGCCTTGTCTTATAACAAGCTTATTCAAAGTGATACAAGCTATGAAAGTGAGATCTTGGAAGAGTTCTGCCATTTTCATAATGTAATAAAAATACTGTAATGATAAATAATAATTAATAATAAATAGTGTCTAATAAGCATGTCATAAAAACAAATTTTATATTTCCAAGATCACTGCTTTTATAATTTATACTCAGGTAAAGGAGAAAATCCCTGGAAATATTCCTTTTTAGGAGGGGGTTCGCGAGACTTGACATTTTGGTGAAAGGGGTTCACAGGTTGTTAAAGTTTGGGAACCACTGGTCTAGATAATACTTAATCCTGCCTTGAGTGCAGGGGACTGGGCTAGAAGACCTCTCAAGGTCCCTTCCAGTCCTACGATTCTACTATACACAATATTTAAAATTCATAGCAGCTATCCCAAATTTCCCATTGTGTACGAGAGATTTTTGTAATTTTAGAATGAATGCAAGTATGGATCCAAATGTTCGTGTGCCTTGTCCTTGCTGAAGTAACTGTCTGTCTTATGACCACAGCCTATTCCACACGCTTTCTTGCATTTACATAGATTGTGGAGTATTTTAATCGGCCATGCTGAAATATAATGATCTGTATTAGTGTAGTATATTTTCCAAAACACTTTATAAGATGTACTGCATGTTTACAAACTTCATTCTGTCTTACAGTACACTAATTATTTTAACATGTAATTATGAATTAATGTCAACCTGTCAACTACACAAACATTTTGAAAAATCAAAATTGAATTAATCCCATCTAAAAATTGAGAATTTTACTTTAAATTTTTATACTATAATTAGCTGTCAGAAACATTTTAAAAATAGGTTTTAGGTAGGGGAGCACATTTAACTAGCAAAAAAAAAATCAATGAGAATGTTTTTCTTACTATTAATATTACACATATTTATTTGGCACTCGTCACTATGGTAGCTAAGGACAAAATCCTCCTTAGTTCTTGTTAATACCTGACTTTAGCTGAATACTGACATTGAATACTGCAGTGCAGATTGAAAGATTTTTGTCATTATCAACAAAGGACAACAAATTGTAGGATTGAAGCTCTGAGGGCAATTAAATCTACACAGGGAAGCCCTTAAACTTGCATGGAGTCCTGTTGACTTCAGTGTGACTTCTGTGTGGGTGTCCCCGTCGCACTGGATGATCAAGGCCTATAGGACTTCTTTATTGTGTGCAGGAATTGGATGTTAATAAAGCAAGTTTTCTCCTTAACTACACTTTTCCTTGCTTTTATTCAGTGAATTCCAATGGAGCCTACACAGCATGGTGATGGGAGCATTAGAAATGGATAGATGATCGAATAAGTACTTTGTGTCAACAGGTTTAATTAAGTTGTTCTGTACATTTAATGTCTTCTCTCACACAGTCTAGAACAGTGGTTTTCAATTTGTGGTCCACAGACCCTGGGGGTCCGTAGACTGTCTGCGAAAGATTGTTGTTACCATAGAGCAGTGGTTTTCAACTTGTGATCCGTGGACCTGTGGGGGTCCACAGACCAAGATTTCCGAAGGGAACCACACCACCATTCGAAATCTTTTAGGGATCTGCGAATGAAAAAAGGTTGAAAACCACTGGTCTGGAATTTAGATGCCACACTTTTAAATCAAATATATTCTTATATGCTGATTTGTGTTTTTCTGGATAACTTCATTTAAATTGTGTATATATTAATTAACTGTTTCTGTCTTCACTCATTTTTATTCTCCTTCTAGAACAACATATTTCCTGTTGGTGGAATGACCAGAAGGAACACGTATGTTTGTGAGCGCTCTTCAGATCGCTATTCTGCAATACAGAATGGGAAAGATAACAGGTACTCAGTTGACTTAGCCAAAAATCTAAGAGTTTGTGCTGAGTTATGACACAGGAGTTAAAACAAACATTTAGCCAATATGCTTATGAAAGATGCTGTGGTGTGGAGCAAGTTAAACTTTACACATGTTTGTTTTATCTTGCTGAAAAGTTTGTGCCTGAATATTTGTCATAGATAGACAAATTATGACAAAATTAGACAAATATTGTGATTCTGCCTTTAACCATCTCCATGCAATAATATTGTCAGGAGTTGCCTCCATCACTGTACAAAGAGTACAAGAGAAAGACAGAAGAGTTTGCAATCTAAATAGACAAAACAATTCAGACATAAAATATTCTGGATGATCCAGAGGATGGTTCTTTCTTACAGTATAGCTAAGATTTTTGTGGTTTTTTTTTTTAAGTTCCCTAATAACTACTGAATAAGATGTAACTATTTAATTGGCATAAAAGAGCTTTGTGAGTCTTGCTTATCTCATTTGTCCCAAATATTTCTGTAATTGACTCTGCCCTTTTACTGTATTTGGTAGTTGGGGTGATTACTGTGTATTAAATATTTTTTATTTTTTTAACAAAACATCTTGCACATTAATGGACACAGACCATTAAAATTACTTTTGGCTTAAAAAATATTCACAAAATAGGAGTTGTAATTTGCAATGTCTGACTTAAGTGCAAAGTATATCTATAAAATTTATATCAAGATTTGTTTGAAGGAGCATACGAATTCTTCTGTATTTTTAAAGCACTAACCTACATGCATATGAGTGCTGTACTTAAATGTAAAATCGTAAAGTTGAAAAGGATGGAAAAGCCCCATCAAAGTAAAGCCAGTAAACTACTATGTTTCCATTATCCACTCTTATGGTATCAATAGTGTTGGAAGTTTCATATCGATCAATTTTACTGCACAGGTAGTATTTTTCTCTGAATTCCCGAAGGATGGGGTTGTTAATTTGCATATATAAAGGACCATGTAACACATGAAAGGGGGGGAAGTGATTTTTTAAAATATTTTTTATGACACTTAGAACATTCTAACACTACTATATAATTAACACAGCAGCACAGAAGGATGAGTTAGAAATATGTTTTTGAACTCTTGGGGTATAATAGTGTAACCAGTTGATCCACATTTCCATCTGAATCTATAGAGGACTAGACATCCATTATTTCCATGGTAAGAATTCTATTTTGGTTACTGATGGGCTTCCTTGCTGCATATTAGAACTGAGGTGATAGTTAAAGATAGGGTAAAATAGTTTTAAGTTTAAAATATCTAATAGATCATAATTTTCTGATTGCACAAAATACTGATGTTTTCTTTTAAATAGATTTAACTATATATAGTAGTGTATAGGCAACTTATTATTTTTTACAATTTATTATTCTTAATTGCCCATGATTTTGAAGAGATACTGGATTTACTTTGGTCTCTTTGATCCATTTTTGACCTCCTCAAAGTTAATATCCCAGACTCCCCCTCCCAATGTATATCCCTTAATGCCAGAGCTCTTCTACAAGAGTCACTGCAGGACCCAGGTACTAGTTCGCTGATCCTCAAAGTCGCAGAAAATGCTACCAGAAATGCTGCCCTGAACAAGGCTGCCTCTTGTTCAAATTGACGTATGGGCTCTAAGATCTGCACCAGATCCCTAAGAGTATTAACAGTGATGGAACAATGTGTATCCTCCCTACGACCAGTGCTTTGAGACCACCCTGCTAGAAACCTCCAACTAAAAACCAAAAGGATCTTGGTAACTATTCAGCATATTGACAAACGTAAGGGCCGACAGATGGGTGGAAATGGTTGATGATGTCACTTGCCCAGTTGCTAACAGCACCGTATACTGCCGCACCTGTTCCTCCATACTGGGCCATATTGGTGACAGGCCCTCCCTGCTCCTGAAATTGCACAAAATTTATAGAACTTCTCTCATAGCTATGGTCACACCTGTCCCTGCCAGCTGCATTGCTCTCATGTCCTGCCGTCTGTTCGTTCAAATATCCTGGATCTGGGTGACCCATTATCTTGTAAGCCTTGTAGTGCTGTAGTACTTGTAAGCCTTGTAGTGCTGCAGAAACAATTTCAGAAGTAACTGCTCAGACTATTTGAATCAATTCTCTCTTGGCTTCCCCATCTCCAAATGCATCAGGTTTGCCACTGGGAGTGTTTGCTTCCCCAGGATCCACGTTACTTCCCTGTACAGGGAATCCATTTGGTAGGCAGACCACCCTGGGTGACTTATTATTTTTTACAGTTTATTATTAATTTTCTGTGATTTTCTTTTTAAGAGAAGGCTGGATTTTTGTCATGTGCTTGGTTTCTTCTGAAACTGAATTTTGAAACTAGCTGAACAAGATTTTTTTCCTTTCACCTTTCATGTGTTTGTTTTTTGGCTTTTCTACAACACCTTATTATAACAATTTCTATCTGGTGTAATTTAGCTTTGGGACTATTGTTTCTACTGCATTTTTGATGGATTTCATTCATGCTTTGGTGAAGCTAAACATTTTACGTTAAGGGTCTAAAAATTCTTGGACACACAGTAGTTGTTCAGTTTTGACAACTTGAATTTGGTTTACAAAATTCATAACACTGTAGTTCTCCGTCCAGAGACACCCCTGAGCCTAAATTTTTGGGGGAACATTATAATTTACATTAGGTGCACATATGTAGGAGAGTATCAGAGGGGTAGCCGTGTTAGTCTGGATCTGTAAAAGCAGCAAAGAGTCCTGTGGCACTTTATAGACTAACAGACGTTTTGGAGCATGAGCTTTCGTGGGTGAATACATGCATCCGACGAAGTGGGTATTCACCCACGAAAGCTCATGCTCCAAAACATCTGTTAGTCTATAAGGTGCCATAGGACTCTTTGCCATGTGTAGGAGAGTTTTATCTGACTCCTGGTGCTCTTCAGTGTGGCTGGCAGACTATTCAGTGAAGTCCTGCTGCTGCTTCAGTCTGCTTAGTATACAGAAGGCACTAAAGCACTAGCACAGATTCCCATGCATAAATATGTCATGAAGGGGCATGTTTAATTGAAATGCTATGAATGATGTATGGAAGAGAAGTAAAGGAAACTATTTCTCTAATTTAAAAAAAAAAAAAGAATGGTGTGGTGCCCCAGCTGTCCTAAGGGCAAAACCACCACTGTGTCTGTTCTAGAAAGTTCGGGAAAGAATGTTCTCTTGTTGAATGTACAGTGTCGTCATTTTAAGTACTGTGGCCTCATGGGACAGGACACGGGTTCTTGTGGGGGTCATGTGAAAACTTTGAAACCCTGTCTGCGATATTAGACTCCTTCTGTCTGAGAAATATCTCCCCCGGCTTGCTTTTGTAGCTGTTAGAGCTTTTTTCAGTTTCATAGCTCATTTGAAAATTCTTATATTCAATTTTTTTTTTCTTAAGTTGTAAAATTTTCCTACCGGGACTTCATCTCATGGAGTCTATGTAGCACAGCAGCCAGGAGTTCTGATGCTGTGGTATTTTTCAAGTAATAGAATGCCTCTTAAAACTACAGTGCTTTCTGCCTTATTGTCGTATGCTTTACATAGTGAAAATGGGCTCTTCTAAAGAACTAATGTATAACTTTGTGGTGGTTAAGGGTTACAGTAAAGCATTGTATAGCAAAAAGGTTGAAGTAATTTGTAGGGTGCTCAGACAGCATTGTGATAGTTGCCTTAGAAATACCCAAGTATTCAAAAATTCAAATCCAAAATATGGTAAACGTCATAAGACTACTTATGTCTTGCAATTTTCATTTCTTCTTTCAGGTAGATTTAACTTTTTAATTTTTTATGTAACAAAGCTAACTAGTTGATATTTGGAAAATTTAATTAGAAGTAGTCAAAAATGTTTCTTCTTACTGTAGAAATTTTTGATTTTTAGTGGAAATTTGAATACCAACAAATTTTGGCCAAATACAGAAACATTTCAATTTTGAAATGCTGTCACATTACCTCACTGAAGTTGTAATATGAGTGCCTTAAATTCCCCTTCTCCTCTACAAACCAGGCTCCTTGGTCTAACTATATCACCATCAAGGCAATATTTAGGTGTTTTTTAAATGACAATTCTGCATAAAGCAAAAATTGTTTTTATTGAAAACCCAATTTTCTGTCAAAGAACAGCTTTTTGACTAGTATCAGAGGGGTAGCCGTGTTAGTCTGGATCTGTAAAAAGCAACAAAGAGTCCTGTGGCACCTTATAGACTAACAGATGTATTGGAGCAGAAGCTTTCATGGGTGAATACCCACTTCGTCAGATGTGTCACATGCGTCTGACGAAGTGGATATTCACCCACGAAAGCTTATGTTCCAATACGTCTGTTAGTCTATAAGGTGCCACAGGACTCTTTGTAGCTTTTTGACTGGAAGTCTTTCTTGAGCAATTGGAGCCTGTATAATTTGTATAGGGTCTAGATCTCAGGAAGCATGGAAGAAACCCATTTATGTAGCAACAATTACTAAATGATAAGCTTGTGGAGTAGTATTGGTGACATGGTTGTAGTTATCAAAGTACAATAGGGACTAGAGAACTAAGTTTTCTCTACTACTCTGTACTGAGTCCAGTAGTCCTTTGGTTATCTGTGAAATGCAATCATCTGGACAGATAGTGGGTCCATAAATAGCACTTCTTGCAATCTATCTTAACTAGCTTTTAAAGTATTATTGTCACCACATTTTTCTGAATAAGCAAAGTATTTAAGTAGTCAGCTTTCTTCCACATCTGTCAGAATTCCAAGCTGTGTTTAACATTTGGTCTCTTTTTGGAAGATTGATCGCTGTGAAGGCATTTAATAGCAAATATGTAACACTGTCAAACTTAGCAAGCAAACAAATTGAAGTAAAGTACTTCTAAATGCAATAGCTATCTTCATTTTCTTGGGAATAATTCTGTTTGCTATATTGCAGAATATGCACTTCATCAGTGTGAAACATTCAAACAGGCAGCAAGAAGGAACACAATATTGTTAAAATACTTATATACAGAAATTTAAATCTGGGGAAAATATAGAAATTGGGAGGTCTCCGCTTGCTAAATATTTACTGTGTGAGCTCTGAGTTTGACAGTAGTTGATTTTCTCTAGATTACCTTGTCTCATTGCTCTTTTCTCTACAATTCAAAATAATTGGAGAAGGATTTACTTAAAATATTAACAATAGGTTTTGAATCAGCATGCTTGATTACAGTGATCGTACATCAGTATATTCCACCTCTGAAGTGTCTAAACCCTCCCTTCTCTCCCCCCGCCCCCTTTATAATTTAGTTTCCTCAGTTATTTTTATTGGTGACTAAGCCCGGACTGTCCACTCAGCTTATGCCAGTAGAGACACTCTCATAAGATCCCCACTCTCCAGGGCCGGCTCCAAGCACCAGTGCAGCAAACTGGTGCTTGGGGCAGCCCATGGCAGGGGGCAGCATGTCCGGGTCTTCGGCGGCAATCCGTCAGCGGTTACCTCAGTCCCTCTCGGAGGGAAGGACTGGCCGCCGAAGAATGAAGCGGCGCGGGAGATCAGCCGCCGAAGTGCCGCTGATTGCGGGGTTTTTTTTGTTTTGTTTTTTTTCCCCCCCTCTTCGCCGCTTGGGGCGGCAAAAAAGCTAGAGCCAGCCCTGCCACTCTCCAAGTATGCACAAAGGTGCTTCCTTTGTGAAATTATCCTTTTGCCCTTCCAAGGAATCCCTCTGCTGATGCTCCATGGTGCTTTCCTTTAAAGAGTTTTGGGGAACCTGCCACTCTCTGATACTGGTCCCCTGGTTACTCCTGAATGTGTGTGGAATACCAACTCCTTATATGGAGTCTCTTCTGTGGGTATAGTTGCAGGGGTCCATGCTACGTGAGCAACGTTGCCAGGGGCCAGGAGTGCCATCTTATTTATGCAGAGGGGCTGCTATCCATTCGTGATGGCTCCTGCCTTATGATTCTCTCGCTGTCTTCCCGGTGGATACCTTGGAGCTGTAGGGTTAGGAGGCCTTGCCCTTATGCCCTCTGAGACCTTCAAAACTCTTTCCATTAAAGGGGGAGTGTAAAGGTGCGGGACTCACCCCTGTGGTGCCTCCTGCTGGTCGTTGGGAATTAGCTCTTTTCCAGCCTCCGGAGCGCCCTCTGCAGGGCTGGTGTCCCGCTTGTAGCTGACCCCGTGTCCCTCCCAGACCCCGGTGCCCCTTTACCCTGGGGCTGCCCCCTGGCAATATCCCCACCAGTCTCTATGGGTCTCCCCTCTCTGGAAAACCCCCAACCCTCTAATCCCCACCTTGCCTCAGTCTGGGCTACTGCCAGTCATCACCAAGCCCCTCCTCCCTGGGGCAGACTGCAGTGTAAAAGCCACTCATCATAGGCAATGGGGTTCAGACCTGCTGCCTTCCTCTGCCTCCTAGTACCTCTATGGGCCTTGGACCAGGGCCTGCAGCCTGGGGAGTTGCCAGCCTGGAGCTCCCCAGCCCTGCTTCACTCCCAGTACCCTTTCTGCAGGCAGCCAGGCCCTGCTCTCTCCTAGCCTGGAGAGAAACTCGTCTTGGGCCTCTGGCTCACAGCCTTTTTATACAGGCCAGCTGTGGCCTGATTGGGGCATGGCCCAGCTTAGCAGCTCTCAGCCACAACCTTCTCCCAGGGCTCCCTTTTTCTGCTGGAGTGGGGGAGCCGCCCCACTACAGGGAGTTTTCCTAAAAACGTCATGAGGAGAATTCAATAGAGTTTTTAACTTACTGCAGTCTACTCCTATGAGCTTCTTTGTAGGAGAAATCTATCTGATCCAAAAGCTAAAATACTTGTGCTTTTGTTAACATCAGAGTCTTTTTATGTGTTGGTTACCATCCATTAATTTAGGAACCTGCAATATAAAAAGTGAGAATTTCCTAACTGTTAATGTAGATTGTCAGTGCTTGTAAGAAGTGGTTGATTTAGGGAAATTGCAATTATTAGCTATACATATTTGATGTTCAGTTTGTATTTAGTGTTTCAATTGGGTGCATGAAAGTGAGTCAATCCTGAAGTTAGTTATCTTTGGTAACTGTAGTAAGCAGTACAGGATCATCTTCTCCATACACCTCTGCCCAATACCCTGCACTCCAGTCCTAACTTGCAGTGGTTCTGCTTATTTCAGTCCTGTGACAAATTAAGCAGAGGCTATGAATTATGAAAAATTGTGTGGTCACTTTGACAGGTGGACAAATGTCCACTAGTGACTAAAAACACAATAACTATTTGAGCCTATGGCTCCAGAGGTGCAAGGTCGAGGCAGTAATGTGATACATGAGGCACATTCTCAGGATGATCAACTTCTGATGGAAATATTCTGTATGTGAATGTGTGTGAGAGAGACAGAGATACTGAAGAAAAACTGCATTAAAAGAGCATTATAAGATGCAACGTCAAGCACTGAAAAGCTAGGCAATGCCAGAATTAAGGTTGTCTGTACAGCCTTAATTTGGCCCCTCTGTGCACATGCATTATGATATAGTCTTTAATTACATGATCACATACTATCTTTGGAGGTTTAAGATGCTAAACTCTAACAAGTCTCTAATGAGTGTGTGTGAACTGAGATATTTCAAAGGCTGTTAACTTGGCCAAATTTGGGCAGATTTTCACAAGAACTGTAGAAGGCACATCTCTGACCAATTTCAAGTCCCTGCTGGAAAGCATGAGGGCACTAGAGTTTTCATTTAAAAAAAAAAAAAATTTTAAAGTGGTGGTAGACTGTTTCTAAATTAGAGAAGGTATTTTTCCCTAGTGTCATTCTGAGAAACAACCGAACTGTTTTTTGGTTGAAGTTTTCCCCACAAAAAAATCAGGCTGAGGCAGATACCTAGCATGGAAAATTTAAGCCCAAACAGTTAAAGTTAGGCAAAGTTATAATGGAAAATATGCTGACAATCTTACTGAAAAAAGTTATTGTTTAGCTTCTTGTATATTTAAAGGAAAATAGTCTTATCTATATGAATATAAGCAATAAAAAAACATCCTGCAGTATCCTTGAATGAGATTTTTTTCCATGGAAACTGATTATAAAAATGTGCATTTTTACAAAAAATAACATTGTTTTTATGACTAATCATTGTAAGTCTGTTGTTGTTTTGTTGTTTTTTGTTTTTTTAATTTTATTGCAGAGTTTTTATCTAGTTGCAGGGTTTGACATGAACTTTTCTGTTGTTGGAATTGACTTTTAAGCACATCTAATGTGTTTTTTCTTATTGTTGTGGCCCTCCTTCCTTTCTTGTGATAAAAGCCTAACAGAAATGTCTGCGAGTAGCACATCTTCTGCAGGCTCTGCTGTTGCTCCTGCTGTATCAACACGACCTCGACACCAGAAATCTATGTCTGCCTCTGGTCATCCTATAAAAGTTACGCTACCAACCATCAAAGATGGCACTGAAGCTTATCGACCAAGGTAATATAATACATAGCGTTTGCATAGTGTTTTACATCTTCAAAATTCTCTACAAACTATTGTTAACATAAATTATATTAATATAGTATATATACTCTTAATGTATTACGTCATACAGTACTCCAATATAGTTTTAAAATTCATTCGTTTGAGTAACAATGCTACATGTGGTTTAGGTTCAGTTTTGTCCAGGATACATCATATTTTGCTCATATCACACAATAAACATATCTCTGAACTAGATCTCAGTCATCAGATAATTCCTGGAAAACAGCAATAGCTACATGTTTATCTGATGCAGACTCAATCCATAGAATATATATGCTGACATATTTAAACTGAATTATAAATTGTAAACCTGTTAGCACTGAAGATTACTTTTCACCTATTGGTGTCAGGAAAAGCACTATAAAATTTCCTCTTTCAGTGTCAAGAGCTTAAAACTGGTATCACAATATCATATATATATATTTTTGTGGAAGGGCGGTGTATATGGCTTTTTTCAACTGTGTTCCTCAAGGAGAATGCTGGAAAGATTTCAGCTCTGACCACCTGACTTGTGTGTATTAGAGTTTGAAATCAGTCAGCATTTTTTTTTTCCCATAGGAGAACAGTCTCCCAAATGTTATTTTTATTTATATATGGGAGGTTGTCTTGTGTTAAGCATTCTTCTGTTTTCCCAGCAGTGCAACTCAGAGAGTGCCTGCTGCTTCCCCATCAGCTCATAGTATTAGCACTACTACTCCAGACCGAACCCGCTTTCCTCGTGGGAGTTCAAGTCGAAGCACTTTCCATGGTGAGCAGCTACGGGAGCGGCGCAATGCCACTTACAATGGACCACCTGCCTCACCTTCACATGAAACTGGTGCATTTACACACGCTAGAAGGGGCACTTCAACTGGTATTATAAGCAAGATAACTTCCAAGTTTGTTCGCAGGTTAGTACCAGACTTCTGTGAATTTTTTGTGTTTGCTTTATTTCCTGGATATTTTTCACTTCCTCTAAGATAATAAATGAGATTTATTTTTCAAATTCTTAATTCTTTTAGAGGATTGCCAATGTGACAATCTAGCATAAATGTAAATTTAATTAGAATAGGATTATCTTTTTGCTTTGTTTTACCCTTTCAGAACCCGCTTTGCTTTGCTTTTCTCTGTATATATCCATCCAGATTTGGCCAGCCATTCTCTTGCTTCTTTATCTTAAAAGAACAAAATTAGGACTATCAAGCGATTAAACCATAATAGAGTACCATTTATTTAAATATTTGTGGATGTTTTCTACATTTTTCAAATATATTGATTTCAATTACAACACAGAATACAAAGTGTGCAATGCTCACTTATATTTTTTGATTTACAAATATTTTCACTGTAAAAAACAAAAGAAATAGAAATTTTTCAGTTCACCTAATACAAGTACTGTAGTACAATCTCTTTATCATGAAAGTTTAATTCACAAATGTAGAATTGTGTACAAAAAAAAACTGCATTCAAAAGTAAAACAATGTAAAACTTTAGAGCCTACAAGTCCACTCAGTCCTATTTCTTGTTCAGCCAATTGCTCAGACAAACAAGTTTGGTTAAAATTTGCAGGAGATAACACTGCCCGCTTTTTGTTTACAATGTCACCTGAAAGTGAGAACAGGCATTCACATGGCACTGTTGTAGCCGGCGTCACAAGATATTTACGTGCCAGATGCACTAAAGATTCATATGTCACTTCATGCTTCAACCACTACTCTAGAGGACATGTGTCCATGCTGATGACTGGTTCTGCTCAATAACGATCCAAAGCAGTGCGTGCTGACGCATGTTCATCTTCATCATCCGAGTCCGATGCCACCAGCAGAAGGTTGATTTTCTTCTTTGGTGGTTTGGGTTCTGTAGTTTCAACATTGGAGTGTTGCTCTTTTAAGACTTTGCAAGCATGCTTCACACCTCATCCCTCTCAGATCTTGGACAGCGCTTCAGATTCTTAAATCTTCGGTCGAGTGCTGTAACTATTTTTAGAAATCTCACATTGGTACCTTCTTTGCTTCTTGTCAAATCTGCTGTGAAAGTGTTCTTAAAATGAACATGTGCTGGGTCATCATCCGAGACTGCTATAACATGAAATATATGGCAGAATGCGGGTAAAACAGAACAGGACACATACAATTATCTCCCAAGGAGTTCAGTCACAAATTTAATTAACGCATTATTTTTTTGACAAGCATCATCAGCGTGGAAGTATGTCCTCTAGAATGGTGGTCAAAGCATGAAAGGGCATATGAGTGTTTAGCATATCTGGCACATAAATACCTTGCAACACCGGCTACAAAAGTGCCATGCGAATGCCTGTTCTCACTTTCAGGTGACATTGTAAATAAGAAGCAGACAGCAGTATCTCCCATAAATATAAACAAACTTGTTTCTCTTAGTGATTGGCTGAACAAGAAGTAGGACTGAGTGGACTTGTAGGCTCTAAAGTTTTACATTGTTTTGTTTTTGAGTTCAGTTATGTAACAAAAAAATCTACGTTTGTAAGTTACACTTTCACGCTAAAGAGATTGCATTACCGTACTTTCATGAGGTGAATTGAAAAATACTATTTTTTTAATCATTTTTACAGTGCAAATATTTGTAAATCAAAAAAAATATATAAAGTGAGCACTGTACACTTTGTATTCTGTGTTGTAATAGAAATCAATACATTTGAAAATGTAGAAAAACATCCAAAAATATTTAATAAATTTGAATTGGTATTATATTGTTTAACAGTGCAATTAATCACAATTATTTTTTTTATTGCAATTTAATGTTTTGAGGTAATCGCCTGAGCTAACTGTGAGTAATCAACAGCCCTAAACAAAATAGTCACATATTTCATGCAGTAACTACAGTGTTTTCCTATTTACATCACTATGAGAAAAAAAATAAAAATGGGGTTTGGTTTGCACAACTGAAAGGGTAGTTTGATCTATACATGAAAAATTTAATATCTCCATCTGCAAAATTGATTTGCTCTCATTAAACAAATGATCATGTAACATTAAAGAGAACATTTACATTTTAATGATGAATTGTAATCAAGTGATATAGATGTAATTAATTACAAAGCCCATTCCTACAATAGCAAGATTATTAATCACTAGAGAACTTTCTCTATTCAAACAAAATCAGTGTTTTCCCTATTCACAGGTTATTGTAGAGAATTTTGGTTTCTCATTGAGGACAGTAAAAATGACATGTAAAAGTGTACACTAACTGCTAGCATCTGGAAATCCTCATTTGTGTCAACATTAAGTAACCTTTTTTCTTTCATTTAAACTTATTTTTGAAGCAATTGATAAAGAATCTGAAAGTCAAGGAAGCACATCAATGTTTACATATAACCATGATGGATGCCATAGAAAAACATAAGATATATAGATAAATTATTTGATTTAAGTGACTGTTTACACGATTACCTTAAAAGCTTCCTTACAGAAAATTTAATTTTCACATTTCACTTATGTCTGGCTGATCAATTGATTTTCGTTTGAAACCGCTGCAGGGATTTACCTACAGTTTTCAGGAAGTAGTAGGCAAGTTACAGAGGTTACAAATAGCACTCTACTGCACAACTGTCAATTTCACAACAGAATTAAATCCCATAGATCTTTGCTTTCTTTGGAGAATCATAATATCCTATATTAAATTCCACAGATATGCTTTCTAGTCTTAAATCCCTTCATAAGTGAAACTTGCCATTTTAGTATAAGAATAGTTACAAGGTGACAAGAATAGTTTCTTGCAATGTACAAGCTGATCTCATGAACAAAATGTGAAGGGGGAGATGGAATTAAATAGCATGACAGGTTCAGAATAAAAATCAGTCCTAGCCTCTTAAAATAAGATTAATCTAAGATGCTGACAATGTGTGGTTAATTATCTAAATAAGATGTATTATCTATCTTTGCCAGAATTTCTTCCAAACTTGAGGATACAGAACTTTGAACCTACATTAATGGCATTAGCAGCATATATATATATAGTGGAAACATTTTCATTTTCTGTTCCCTTTCTGAACATTACAACCCGCTACTAAGTGCTCTGTCATTCCATTTGTGCAACAAAATTCCAAATGGGATGAAGTGCATTTTCCACTAAGTAATTAATCATTTCAGGAGGATACATTAATTGTTAGTCGTTATAAATGTCATTCTGAGACTGTATTAAATAAAATGGTATGCATGTAACATTGCGAAGCATGGTGATTTTTTTTTTTTAATAGCCAGTTTTAGACTTCAGCTTTTTCATCATATGCAGTTGACAGATTTATATAGGACACACTGACAGTGTTGTCTCCTAATTAAATCAGACTGTAACAAAAAATTACTTCTATGCATGATGGAGGATTGTTTTTGTTATAGATCTGATTATTAATTATAGCTTTTTCTTAGAGTTTTAGCACTAACTTCTGGTGTTTTCTTGGTGTCCGTGACTACAAGTCCTAAATTTCAAACGTCGGAGACTTTTGCTGTTAACCCTTTTTTTAAAAAAATAAACACTCCCAAAACAGGTAGTTAGAATTGTTTCTCAGCAGTGTTAATAATTTCATCAAACTAAAAAATGCTTGACATTTCCCTGCCTCTCAGATCAGTGATTGGGGGGCGGGGGGGGGTGCTTGCCTCAAAGATATTTTGTTATATTCTACCAATCTTAAATTAACTGTTTTGACTGTGTTTGGATTGTCTGTCTTGATGTTAATAATTTATTTCTTAATGTCTTTGAATAATATAAAACATTACCCTAGTGAGCAATAGTTTTATATGTATATTGTTTACAAAGGTATCCAGAAGGATTGTTTTTATTTTATTTCTGGCAATTGTATGTGTTTTTCTGGTAAGTATGTAGGGTATTTATATACAGTAAATGCTTTTATACGTTAGTTAAAATGCATCTTGCTTAGGGTACAGAGTATTGAGGCATTTTGTTGAAATGTGTATTAACAATTTGTGCCAAACGATATCTAGATGGTCAGTTAATTAGGTGTTCATATAGAATAATTTTGAAGGGTGTTATGTGCTGGATTAAATAAATCTTTTAAAATATTTACTAAAATGCTTGTAATGCAGCACTGGGAATGTACCCACTTATCAGATTTTGATACCTTGGCTTACATAATATGCATTGTACATATCTTTTTTTTTCTTCCAAACAGCCAGAGGCTACTAAAGCATATTGTTAAGTAATTATTTTACAAATCATGATGCCAGTTCAGCAAGGGACCTAAGCACCTGCCTAACTTAAAGCCCATCAGTAGTGCTGTTGAAGTCAATTGGATAATTTGTTCGCTTAAAGTTAAACAGATGCATATGTAACCTTTTGAATTAGGGTCTCGGGTTGATCCAAGAAACTCATGGGCACATGCTTAGCTCTAAATATGTGACCATGCTTAAAGCTAAGCAGATGCCTAATGTTTCCAGGATTAGAGCCCAAGGGCCTGACCCAGAGAGGAGCTGAGCACTGCAGTTGGCTATATTTGGCTTCAGTAGTAGTTGAGGGCTCATAGCACCTCTCTGGTTCAGGTCCTCATTGACTAAAGTGCTATAACTATACTTTTTGGAATCGTATATGGCCATTTTTCAGTCTGTATTAGGCCAGAACTCTGTAACTTATGCTAATCTTACCAAGAGTTTAAAAAAAAAAAAATTACATATCAGGGTTGCAATAAATTGAGGTATCCTAAAGGGAAGTCAAATTTGCAGCTGTGAAAAATAGTACTTAACAAAAATTAGTAAATATGACATTTTTATGCTGAATCTTTGCTCGGTAGTTACTTTAAGTCTGTTATAGATATGGGTTCTCTTGACTTTTATTTTTTCGTCTTTATCATTGAATCTCAACCTTAACTTTGTTTTGAGGGATCCAAGTGAAGGCGAAGCCAGTGGCAGAACTGACACCTCAAGGTGAGGAGCCACGATTAATACTTCGCTGCTAGGTCCTTTGTGTTAAAAGTTTAAGTGATTTCTGAAAGATTTTTAACCAGGATTTAAAATAGAATAGTGCCTAAATAACTTGTATTTTTAAAATGTTACGTTTTGCTGTGGGTCCCTGCCCATCCCTCTTACTTACCTGGAAATTCACTTTTTGATTTTTAAATACTTGTAGATATATGTTCAAAACTGTGTTTTGTATTGTACATTTTGTAAAGAAGCAAACTTGATAAGTTAACACAGTACTATGAAAGCAATCCCAGCTACAAGATTAAACCAAATCATAGGGCTCTTCTTTAAACATCTTCTTATGCTTAATGTTGTTTAATATAATATAGGCTTAAGTAGCAAATATATAGGTTAATACTTAATGTGTACATGTAGATTAAAAATATTAATATAGTCACATATTGTATTCATCATTTAAAAGTCACTGTTCACCAACAGTGAGCACCCTGCAATGTCTGAGGTATCAGTGTTACTTTACACTTAAAAATAACAGTGGTATTCAGATATTGTTGGGTGGTAATTGTAAATATTGACTTTGTGTGGCAACCACTACACACACAAACAAAACTGTAGCTGTAACATAAGCAATAACATACTCTTCAGTGTGTTCGCCTTTCAGTATATGTTCTCTTCTAGCATGTCTCAGCATGTTGACTCTGCCTTTTTAATGTGCTTGGTAAAGCAGGTGTACATTCATGAAGCATCTAATGAATAAACAATGAACACACACTGCAGTTATTGTTGTACTCTAAAATGGTTAATTACAAAAAAGAATGGCTTATTTCTGAGAAAACATTTAATAAGCATCTGTATTTAAAAGAGCAGCAGCTCTTTAAACAGTATACATTCCTTAGTATAACTAATATACTGTGTGTTTCTGAATTACCTGTTTCAGCATTTTTTTCCCCTATGTCCTTAAGCTGCTGACACTATAGTATAGTCAAGTCTGTTAATGTAATTAACCATGGCAGTGGATTTCAGCTCTGATCTCACCACTCATTCCTGTTCTCTAACTTTCTCTGCTGCCTCCTGGTTATCCTCCAGCCTAGTAAGTTTTGGGCATCAGGCCACTTCCTGAAATGCTACATGAGTCCAAATCTCGACTGTGCTGCTGTGCCAAGTCTTCTAATACTGATGTGGCTCTGTGGTGGCAGCAATGAAAATAAACCATCAATTTTTAATGTTTAAAAAGCATGCTTTTTTAAAAGCTATCTAGAGTGGTTCTGCTCCTCTCTGAATAGTGAAAAGTTTATTAAATGAAGTGGCAGGTTATCGTTTGGGGGGGTGGGTGGGAAGAACCTCATTGTTGAATATAGCACTTTAAATATAGGGGAAGAGACTGTTTTCCTAAGTGTTTGTGTAACAACTGGCACATTTTAAGTAAAAATAATACCAGTAACGACTGTCGTGGAGGGCTTTGCCCAGCAGGGGTGGCCTTAGCGTCATTGAGTGAGGCAGTGTTTTGAGAACTAAGTTGCTTGCCCAAGAAGTACAAGTGGGCAGGAGGTGGGAAATGAAGGGAGAACCGCAGAGATGCAAGGAAAGGAAATGGGGAAAATGAGGGTGAGGAAAATCTGGTCTGAAATTGACCTCCACTCTTCATTTAACAGCCCGTGCCAACGAAACACCTCCTCCTCAATAGTGTGTGGTAGCATCAGCAGCTCTCGGGCATCTAGGAAAAGAAACAGCAGAATCTGGAACTCTTTTTAAATTTAAAATGAGTACTATTTTACAAAACTGCGTTCCAAACTTACCTATGCTGAGTGAGCTGATGGGTAAAGAAGTTTTATAGTCCCACTGTTTGTGTTCATTAGAAGATAATTACTTGGGATTTTATCTGTCATTTTATCAGCTAAAATTACATTTTTGTCTCTCTCCCTCACTATTCTGTTACGTGTCTTCTGGCTTTGTATTGTTATGAGAGACAAAGAAGCTGTTTGCCCACCCAGTTGAGTAATTGTAATATAAAATTCTACTGCATCAGTTAAAATAGGATGTTGCCAAAATATAAGGTCACTTTAAAAAAGAGGAGAAAGAGGGGTCAAAAGTCCCTAAAGAATCTGTAAAAACAAATTGGGTTAATTGTGAGCATGATGCTCCCCAATTTGTAAATATAGGAAATGAGTTTCTCTTCATGCACAAGCATGAAAGCAAAAACTTTTGTGTGGAATGCAGGGTGGGTTTCCTTCCTTTGCTGCTTTTACAGCATGTTTACACATCCAGACCACGTGTCCCACAAATTAATACCTTTTGTTGCTGTATGGTGTGCTCCAAATGATGAGCTCAATAGAAATCAAAAGATACTTCTTAAAATGTAGATTCCACTGTCTCCTGCTACAGCAGTGCAAAGGGATGTGTATCTATCTGTAGTTACCATTGCATATACAAATAAAAGCTTTGTTATCCGGCATGTTGGGGGAATGGGGGGTGCCGGTAAGTCAAAAATTCCGGTTAACTAAGAGGGAGGGAGTTTGGGTGTGTGAGGGAGCTCAGAGCTGGGGGTTGGGGAGTGGGCTCTGGGCGAGAGTTTGGGTGCAGGAGGGGGCTTGGGGCAGGGGGTTGGGGCACGGGAGGGGGTGCGGGTTGCCAGATCCGGGCGGTGCTCACCTCGGGCGGCTTCCTGGAAGTGGCAACATGTCCTTCCTGCTCCTAGGCAGATGCGCAGGCAGGCGGCTCTGCGCGCTGCCTCCACCCGCAGGTACCGCCCCCGCAGCTCCCATTGGCCACGGTCCCTGGCCAATGGGCGCAGTGGAGCCAGCACTCAGGATGGGGTAGGGACAATGTACGGAGCCCCCATGGCCACGCCTCCACCTAGGAACAGCAGGGACAGGTTGCCGCTTGCGGAGAGCTGCCCGAGGTGAGCGCCGCCTGGATCTGGCATCCCAAAACACTTCCCATGCCCCAACCCTCTGCCCTGAGCTCCCTCGCACATCCAAACTCCCTCACAGAGCCCACACCCCTAACCCCCTCCTGAAATGCCAGTTTCTAGAGCTTTCTGGTTGGTAAAATGCCGGGTAACACAGCTTTACTGTATTACAGTTAGGATTTTCTTAAACTTTATTACTTTCTAGTACTTAAATCTATTTTCTGGATTTTACTTTTGAGTGTGCAACATGTTTCTCTCTCCAGGAGTGCTTCTGGGGAACCAAAAGACCGAGAAAAGGAGGATAGCAAAGATTCCAAACCACGTTCTTTGCGATTCACATGGAGTATGAAGACCACTAGCTCCATGGACCCGAATGATATGATGAGAGAGATTCGAAAAGTGTTAGATGCTAATAACTGTGACTATGAACAAAAAGAGAGGTTTTTGCTCTTCTGTGTTCATGGTGATGCACGACAGGATAGTCTTGTTCAATGGGAGATGGAAGTCTGCAAATTGCCACGATTGTCACTCAATGGAGTCCGCTTCAAGAGAATATCTGGGACTTCTATTGCATTTAAGAACATTGCATCCAAAATTGCAAATGAGCTTAAGCTGTAAAGAGAAACTAAATTTATGGGATCAGGGAAAATTCATACGTGAACTACACTTACGTTTTGAATGTACTGGTTACGCCTAGTGTGAGTGGCCTGTGAAACTCCCCATGTAGAAATTGTCCCTATTGCAATAAGGTTATACATAGTTATTCTGAATTGTAAAATTAAATTCAGTATGACCTATATTAAATAACTGTAGCTAAAGAAGTTATGTTCACATGTACAGGTAAGTATATAGAGCATTCTGTTCATTTTATGTTCATAGAGTTGTATAATAAAAAAGATGATTGCTTAAATACAGATCTTGTATAGTTGTCTAGATTTCTGCACAAAAGTGTATGTTTGATGCTTTGAGTTGAAAAAGTTCTTCCCTATCACTATTTACATTTTTGGTGGTTTTAATAATTCTATCATGCATTTTTTTAAAACTGTGTCCAGAGTCAAAATGCACAAAAATAGTTTTCACAACTGTAGCATGACCATTTTTAGTTATTTAAAAATCATATGTGAATTTGAATCAGAAGTCGATAAATCGGCTTTTGTGGTACACAAGACTGTTCCTGCTTACGTTTGGTTCTTCTCCTTGGTATTGGACAGTATTTAGCTGAAAAATACAAACATGTTTACAGTGTTGGCACTTACAGATTTAAAAAGATTTTGCCTTGGGCCAGCTGAGAGCTGCTGGGAAACAGAAATCACATCTAGGTAATGTTTTGTGTGCAAATTATAATGCTTACTCTACTCTTGAAAATGTAGCATCAAAATGGAGAAGAGCAAATTATTTCATTTAAATAATATGATGTAAAATATCACTTGTTTGCTGCCTTCAATATATTGCAAATTCTAGTGTATGGAAATATATTAATGTTGGGACTGTTTCATAGCACAAAATAATTTGAAGTGTTGACCAATTGTATGAGTTAATAATACCACCTCAGGAATTTACTGGCTTTTGGAATATTTGCCCCCAAAGACAACATGCAATTCCTTATGATACTTTACTGCTAAACAATAATGGTTGATTTATCTTATGTGGTTGTACAATTTGTTTCCATGTAACTTGTTTGTGTTTAATATTTTACCAGATTTCTTGTATTTATACCACATCATTATGCCTGTAATGTGCAGCTTTGTAATTTAGGCATTTGCCTATGGAAAAAAAAATTCCTTCCATAATTAGTAATATAAACTATGTAAAACCACTAGTAATGGTACCTTTTAATACTTGTTATTTTGTACTGAATTAACCATAGAGGTTGGTTGTGCAATGTTATTTAATGTCGTAATTACTGTAATATCCCCCCATATGCACACTCTTGTGGAGAATAGAAAGTTCATTCAAAATCTGTCACTTTAAAAAAAAATTAAAAGCTGTGGTAAACTCTGTAACTCTAAATTAGAAGGCTGTAAGTGTAGCTAATGTGCCATTCAATAATGGCTTCTTGACAGAGGTGGATTTTACATGCTGTACTATACTGTGATGTAGCTTTCTGTAACAGTTATATTCTGAAATGAACGTGTATTGTTGCCTTAGAAAAAGGGTGGTGTTTGGAAAGAAACAACTGTAGCCCCTTTTTACCTGGTGTTTATTCAAACAAATTTTGATGCAAGTCATCTTGATTCACTTTCACTGGTGCACTCTATTAAAACTTACTTGAACAGTTCTCATACTAAAGTGCTTGTTGTTTGCCCTTAATCAAAATGAAAATCTATTCCAAGTAGATATTTTTATTATGCAACAGCCCTAAAGGTCTCTTCTTGCAGTTATGTATTTTATTTGTTCCTTTCGTTTACAAAAAAAATTCTATGTTGTGCAAAATCAGTCCCTGTATAATTTTTATGGTCCCACTCATCAAAGTGCTGAGCATCTTCTAGAAGGTGCCAGTGGGGGTTCAGGGTGCTTTGCATCTCATAGAATTGGGTCACTGGGACACATCTAGATCCATATCCCAATTTTTGGAAAGTGATCTCTTAGTTTCCCAAGGAGCTCCTTCATATGTTCACCACCAATCTGCTTCAGGAATGATTTAGATCTCTGTGCAATTTATCCGTGAATCATAAGAACGACCATACTGGGTCAGACCAATGGGCCATCTAGCCCAGTATCATGTCTTCTGACAGTGGCTGATGCCAGATGCTTCAGAGTGAACAGAACAGGACAATTTATTGAGTGATCCATTCCCTGGCATCCAATCCCAGCTTCTAGCAGTTAGAGATATAGAGACAACCAAAGCACAGGGTTTCATCCCTGACCACCTTGGCTAATAGTCATTGATGGACCTATACTCCATGAACTTATCTAAAAAAAAATTTTTGAACACAGTTATACTTTTGGCCTTCACAACATCCTCTGACAACGAGTTCCACAGGTTGACTGTGTGTTGTGTGAAGAAATACTTCCTTTTGTTTGTTAACCCTGCAGTTTACTAATTTCATTGGGTGACCCCTGGTTCATATGATATGGGAAGGGGTAAATAAAACTTCCTTATTCACTTTTTCCACACCATTCATGTCCCCCCTCAGTTCTCTCTTTTCCAAGTTGAACAGTCTTTTTAATCTCTTCTCATATGGAAGCTGTTCCATACCCCTAATCATTTTTATTGGCCTTCTCTGTACTTTTTCCAATTCTAATGCAACTTTTTTGAGATGGGGCAACCAGAACTGCACCCAGTATTCAAGGTGTGGGTGTACCATGGAGCTGTATAGTGGTATTGTGGTATTTTCTGTCTTATCTATCCCTTTCCTAGTAGTTCCTAACGTTCTGTTAGATTTTTTGACTGCTGCTGCCCATTGAGCAGACGTTTTCAGAGAACTATCTGCAATAACTCCAAAATCTCTTGAGTGGTAAGCATCGTTTTGTATGTATAGTCAGGATTGTTTTCCAATGTGCATAATTTTGCACTTACCAACATTGAATTTCTGCCGTTTTCTTGCCAAGTCATTCAGTTTTGTGAGATCTCTTCATAACTCTTTGCAGTTTGCTTTGGACTTAATTATGTTGAGTAATTTTGTATCATCTGCAAACTTTGCCACCTCATTGTTTACCCCTTTTTCCCAGATCACTTCTGAATATGTTGAACAGCACTGGTCCCAGTATAGATCCTTTTGGGATCTCACTATTTACCTCTCTCCATTGTGAAAATTGACCATTTATTCCTATCCTTTGTTTCCTATTATTCAACCATTTACTGATCCATGGAATGATCTTCCCTCTTATCCCAGGAGTCCTTACTTTACTTAAGAGCCTTTGGTGAGCAACCTTGTCAAAGACTTTCTGAAAGTCCAAGTACACTATATCCACTGGATCACCTTTGTCCTATTATTTGTTGTACCATCAAAGAATTCTAATAGATTGTTGAATACAATGTTGTTGTAGCCATGTTGGTACCACAATATTAGAGAGACATGGTGGGTGAGGTAATATCTTGTATTAGACCAACTTCTGTCGGTGAGAGAGACCATCTTACACAGAGCTCTTCTTCAGGTCTGGGAACTCTGTAAGCTCATCTCTCTCACCAACAGAAGCTGGTCCAATAAAAAATATTACCTGACCCAGGTTGTGTTTCCAATAGATTTGTAAAGGGAAATCATGCCTATGTTGACTCTTCCTGCAACATATTGTGTTCATCTATGTGTCTGATAAGTCTAGTCTTTTATATACTTTCAACCAATTTGACTGGTACTGAAATTAGACTTACTGGCCTGTAATTGCCAGGATCACCTCTAGAGCCTTTTTTAACAATCAGTGGCACATTAGCTATCCATTAGTCATCTGGTAGAGAGGCTGATTTAAGCAATAGGTTACATACTACAGTTAGTAGTTCTGCAATTTCATATTTGAGTTTCTTCAGAACTCCTGAGTGAATCCATCTGGTCCTGATGACTTACTATTGTTAAACTTATAAATTTGTTCCAAAACCTCCTCTATTGACACCTCAGTCTGGGACAGTTCCTCAAATCTGTCACCTAAAAAGCATGGCTCAGGTGTAGGAATCTCTCTCATATCCTCTGAAGTGAAGACTGAATTACATAATTCATTTAGCTTCTCCGGAATGGCCTTCCTTCCTTGAGTGCTCCTTTAGCCCCTTGGACCACCCAGTGGCTTCACTGATTGTTTGGCAGGATTCCTGCTTCTGATGTACTTAAAAATATTTGCTGCTAGTTTTTGTGTCTTATGCTAGTTGCTCTTCAATTTCTATTTTGGCCTTCCTAATCATACTTTTACACTTGACTTGCCTGAGTTTATGCGCCTTTCTATTTTCCTCAGTAGGATTTGAATTACAATTTTTAAAGGATTTCTTTTTTTTCTTTAACCATCTCTTTTACTCTGTTTAGCTATTGTGGCTTTTTTTGTTGTTCCTTTTACTGGTGTGGGGTTCCTTTTTTAATTTTTTTTGGGGGGGGGGGAGAGGTAAAACATTCCGTTTGAACCTCTGTTATGGTGTTTTTAAATAGTTCCCATGCAGCTCACAGGCATTTCATTCTTGTGACTGTTCCTTTTAATTTCCATTTAACTAGCTTCCTCATTTTTGTGTAGTTCCCCTTTTTAAGTTAAATGCTGCTGTGATGGGCTTCTTTTGTATTCCCCCCCCCCCCCCCCCCCCCAAGGATGTTAATAGTGGACATAATGTAATTAAATTTACTGAGTGTTTTAGCTATATTCACCTCCTGGACCAGATCCTGTGTGCCACTGAGGACTAAGTCAAGAATCGCGTCTCCACTTGTGGGTTCCAGGAATACCTGCTCCAAGAAGCAGTCAGCAGTGGTGTCTAGAAATTTTATCTCTGCATCCCATCCTGTGGTGACATGTTCCCAGTCAATGGGGGGATAGTTGAATTCCCCGCCCCTCCCATTTTTATTGTTTTTTCTGGTTTTGTACCCTCTAAACATTTCACAATTACCATCACCATCCTGGTCAGGTGGTCAGTACTCCAGTCCTACTGCTACACTCTTTATTATTCAAGCATGGAATTTCTATCCATAGAAATTCTATGGTACAACTTGCTTCATTTAAGATTGTTACTATGTTTGACTCTATGCTTTCTTTCACATATAGTGCCACTCCCCCATCAGCACAACCTACTCTGTCATTCC